AATGCAACGGAGGCACCTGTGATCGGAAAAATGCAGGCATTTCATTGTCTTGTACTATTAACCGTCATGTCTTACAGCAGTATAACATGTCAGAACAGACTGGAATGTAGCATATTAGCCCCTTGATAGATTAACTGATATCTCATTGGTCGGTACCACAGATGACTCATGTTGGCGAATGCCAAAAGAACCTTCTGTATCCCAGCTAAGATTTCGCTAGCAGCTGTCCCGTTTGTGCCGACGCAACTCCATAAATGACCGACATGGTCTCCATGCTCCATTTCGAGCATCTTTACGCCATATGATTACTACATTTCATGCCTCATTGGCCAAAGACAAAGTCCTCCTGAAGGCTGATAGGCATGATGTTATTGCGCCACCGAGGTGCACCACGCCTCCAGCTAATCTACCTCTTTGCTCTTGTTGGGTGACTTGAGCTGGTTTCTTTGAGTTGGCTTCCGCATCCAACAGCCCTAAACGTTCTGGTAAAAGCGGAAATACAGGCAAAAATAGGGTCGACTTATCGATCTCAAGGCCCAAAAAGGAAAATTCCTGCTGAAAACCATAGCTTTCGTTGCATTACTGCACAGTCAAAGCTAAAACGTTGGACCACAGCAAGAAGACTCTTTCCTTCAAATTTCGCGTGGCATGGAACAAACATTATTATTGTATTGGCCTTCCTTTGAAGCAACTGAATCACTCAATGTTATCCGTGTTCGGCGAGGTGACTGATAATCGTACCACCAAAAAATTTCTACCACCTAATCTCACTGGGTAGAAGCGCGTCAGCTTATCATAAAACGGTCTTAGTTGGGCAATGTTGGACTGGATATCACTCATCCTTTGAATCACGAACCCGGGTGAAATTTTAGTCTAGGCTTAAATTTACTTCTTTCGGTACTCGTCCTGTGTGTAATAACTGTAAAAAACAACGTCTTAGCTTTCCACTGAGTCTGCGGAGTTAGCATTGCAAATTTGCATGCAGTGGACAACCTTGTTATCCTGTTCAACTAGACATCGCTTGGCCCCAGTGTATCAACCAAAGACCTCAGTACCATCGAAGTGGCCCGCTTCGAACAAAAGACGGTTATTCGAAAGTCGTACGGTTGATATTATCATTGCAATCTCAAATCCCAACTGAATGCTCCCTCCTAGTGATCAACAGATACATTCGAGGGAAAAAGAAGAAAGGGCGCAGAAAATTGAAGTCCGTCGTGAATACACTTCATATTGTTGATAGTTGTTGGTGCCATTATTTCATCATCGGGACAAACTCGGACGCATACTTTCTGTCCAACATTTATGTTTAGAAGTTGTGGCACGGTCTATTTAGGCCAACTTTTCAGCTTTGAGATAGTCCATACTTTAAGGATGGGATTAATGAAACAGATTTTATCCTGGATTGGACAGGGAGCTCTATAACGTCACACACTGGCAGCTGAAGCAGCATACAGTCCTCAAACGTAGCCAAAGTACCAGCCGTAACTCAACAGCCACTTAGAAGACAACAAGAAAGTATGCCCACGAGGTTCTTCCTATGGCCGCCTAATTTGTCGGAGGGTTCGGCATCTGATATATGGTATGCCCACTGAGAGCATGATTGAACAACAACTAATACATCCTTTTAAAGCAGTCGTTTATGAGGGAATGTGCTTGCTTTCATGAAGTAAGGAAAAATCATGCTACCAAACAGAATTTGAACTGACTGCAAGAGAATAGTAATCAGCAAACATCTCATTCATCAGTTTAAGACAATGGCCTTTCTGAAGGACAGTGAAGATTTGCAATGCAGCTGTTGGTCACACCCCATCTAATCATGAAATATCAACGTGGCTACGTCGAACGGTACCGGGCCACAGAAGATGAAAGTGGAAACATTTGGCTCATTGATTGATTTCAGAAAATACATAGGATAAAAAGAACTGCGTACAAGGCCGGAACTATCAATGATCAGCCACCGACAGGGTGAGAGTTGTATATCTTTGCTAAACTCAAAAGTGTGGGTACCCCGAGCACCAAAAGCGACCGAAGGAGTAGAAAACGCCACAGCTTTCAGTAGGGTACTCTGAAGCTCTTAAAGGTATACTGGGGAACGAAATCATAGTTGGGTTCATCCGCCACCGGTCCAGAGAGTTGTAGGCATACAAGCAAGTTATTGCAAGGATTCGTTTCCATAAGATCTAGTCATTGTAGCTGCTGGCTTACATTTCACCGGCTGGCTTCACTATACTCATTCTACCTACCAATGATCTCCGCCTAGTTTGCTGACATTGCTTGGGAGCCGGTTTTCTTCTCCCTGCACACCTAAGAATACTTCGGGAAACTTACACCCAAAAGGACACCATCACCGACCTCTGTACCCCCTTTCCCAACTGGTTTGTTGATGCTAACAAACTGGAGTACTTTTAGCAGGAATTTATAGAAGATTGGCCCTAGTTGACCCAAGTTGTCACAGTGGCGCTTTCCACGACCAGGTTACTCGGTTGGGAACTTTATGGGAACCAAGCAAGAACAGAACTTCGCACAAAGTTTCCGTTTTTGTCACACCGAGACTCCACGGACTTCTAAGTTGCTACCTCCAGAACATCGAGATTTGTCAGGATGAGAAAGCTCACCAGAGATTCACTAGCCACCGACCTGTCTTTTCCCCAACTAACCATAAATGACCGCAAGCCACTTACTGTAATGGGCAGCTCCATTTGTGGGATGGTCAGGTTAAAAGACATACTTATGCCGGAGGCAAAGAGAATGTTAACTAACACATATTTGAGCGGTCAATATGGATTTTCTCGAAGGTCTTGAGAGAAGACGGTCACTGGCAGAGAGTCAGGTTTACAAACATGTTTATCCCTTATTCGAAGCTTATTCCATCATGCTGCACGTTTCCCAAGAACTAAATTTATGGCCTCTAAATTGGTTTGGCCATTTAGTGATTAACAGCCACACTGAAAACATGGAACTCTCAGCCAACAACTACTCCAGAATTTTCACAAAGTCAGTTTCCCATTCAAGAGTATGAGAAGATCCCACCAAAACAGTGTGGGTTAACAACTGAAAGCTTATGATTCGCCGCCTCTGGATACGGTAGCCAGCTAAGCGAAAGCCGCACTTATTTTGCTGCCAACTATTTGAGGCCATCTACTGCAAGGAAGATGAGTGCACCTACGCAAGAGTTTGTCTATACCCCACTAACCAAGTAAGACATTCGGTGGTTGACCCAGGATTTGAGCTAGCACAGCCCAAGCTACTGGTGCTCACAAAAGACATCTCTTCAGGACCATATAGAATCTGTGCAGCGGTACCGCAAGAAGGGGCATCAATCATGACTGAACCTTTGGGTGAGTAATCTAAGGATTCTTTGAACCAAGAGAAGATACCCGCTCATGGGAAGTGGGGCCACACAACGTCAGTCCCGTAGGAGGTCAATGAAGCAACCCGAAGAAATATAGACCAATGCTGCCCCTATCAGTACCTTCTAAAGTATTGGGGTCGCCAACTTATGATGGACCGAAGGATCACCTCATGACAGTCAACATCCTCACCTACCCCCAAAGACGGATTTAGAAAAAGGTACCCCCGTACTGCTCAGCCACTCGCCGCAGTGGATTACAGACTACAGCCGTCCCCCATCGGAGTTTAACTGAAGTTAATTATGTGGTGTTTACTAAGGGGTTTGAAAGCAGCATTCATGATTGCCTTGCTGGTGGACGAAAATTAACCGAGTTCACACCATCGCTCATCGGCTGGTTGTCCTCATACCTACTAGGTCATCTACTTAGAGTTGGAATGAGTTTCAGTATGCCTGAAGATATAGAATGTCATGTTAATGTTCCACAAGGTTCGGTGCCGGTACCTTTTCTCTTTGTAGTACATATAAACCACCTGCCTCATCTGGTTCCTCCTAAAATCCTGCATTTTGCCGATAGCACGAAACTATAGATATGAATCGAAAGTGAGGAGCAAAGTGTTTCTCTACAGGGAGACCTAGCCCGACCTAATAACTGGACGTTCAATGGTGGGCTCGCATGTAATCCTGAAAAGTTGAAGGTTGTATATATAATACACCATGCATGCCATGTATGTGGCCTAAGTGGCATGAACCTGGAGTGTCGCTGAGGCAGGAGTTGGGGGTTTATGTACATCAAGACTTAAACTGTCGTGCCAAAAGCGATAGAAACCGATTTCGTGGAATCTTGGCGTTGGCAACCCCAAGATGAATCTGCGGACGGTTCGATCGTAGGTCTTTTCACCGAATTTTCTGTAGTTTTATACGGCCTTACCCATAGTTCGAGACTATCACCTTCCACGCCTCTTTGCAGGAGGATAAATTAAGCTCAGAACGCAACCAGAGGGGCCTCATCAACTCCGTTCGATCAAAAAGCGACTGGTTGAACTTGATCTACACCTTTCGGAGAGTTGAAGACCAGGAGATTTGAGAGTGGCCCACAACGTCCTGAATACCCCTGGTTACCCACTTTGTTACTGGATTTTAATTGAGACAACAATCTTAGAGGGTACATACAGAAACCAAGCGTAGAACGTAGGGGATTAAATACCAGACATAACTTTTATCCTCTAAGAGTTGTTAAACCCTGAAACGCTCTTCCTGAGGATGTGATCCAGGCTGCTTCGTCTGAATCTTTTAAATGCCGACTGGATACCCACTTGATGTGTATCTGGGATCTGCCCAGAACTAAGTGAATTTTCACATTTTAATTGTCAATTTTTCACCTTTCTTTACCTGTACAACAGGTTAACAACTAAAGGGAGTAGTGATCCACGGACCGTAGACGCGGAAGTCAGTTAAGCGAAAGCTTCTGTTCCGTCAACAACCATTTGAACCATTTGTATCCCTATACTTTCAGGTTCATTGAAACCGGAAAAAAGTTACCATTCTAAAAATATAAATTTCTCCAATAACAGAGATACCATCGTCTACTACTTTTCACAAAAATGTTTAAAGTCTTGAGTTAATTGAAGAGTGAATAGACCTTGGTAAGGTCGTGACAGTGGCGCTTGCATTAACCTTCATCACATGGCTACGAAATTAAAGTTGGTGTATAAATTTCGATTAACTTCTTCCTAAGGTTTTCATTAGCTGATAAGTTCCAGCCTTGTTTCAATTCGCAGTATCCAATTTTTGTACGTCTACCTGTTGAATTTTTATATGATTGTATAGCATACAGAATCAGGAAAAATATATTGTGGACGAGTTGTTGATGACTCATTGTGCATAAACATTCTAGATAGCGAATCATTCACTTTGGTCGATAAAATTCAGGTTTGATTATTTTTTAATGGTTTCATCAGTAAGGATGAGGAGTCTATCACTTCTTTCGTTGTCGATGAGGTTTATTCGGTAAGCATCAGTTTAGGTTGCTTATTTTCTCAGACAGTTTACATTGCTACGAAGAACTTGCTTCTGAAGCGCATTGATGGCGAATCTCTAAAATCCACAAGGGTTTGGATGGTGAGCTGATTCACTTTCTTAGGTCTGGTTTAATTTTGCAGTCTTGCCATCAAAGAATTGTTCAGAAAATGTCGTTGAGCAAATGTTCAACCCGCCTAGCTACAGGATCAGGGGATACTGTCGTTCGCTTATGGCACATTGGCCCTAAAGAAGGTTTCTCTGCAAGTTGTCGGTTGCATCAGGGCATGATAACGTAAGTTACTGTTTGTATGGTGTATTAATATTTAACTCAGAAAATGCTATTACACACCCTTTTAGTTGTAAGGACTCTTATTTGAACAAAATTGCAGCAACACTGTTAGTGGAAGTGCTTCGCAGTTGCAAGACGCAAAGAAGATTCCCAAACTAGCCAAATTATGTGCTCAAATATTTTCAGCGTTGTTTGTGTGTACTCTAGTTTCCAGATCAGTGACGTCACAAAAGGCCGTAAACTATTTTAAAATGTGCGTCAATATATAATGTGATCAGAAAACATAATGGAGTGATCTAAACGAACAAATATGTAGAAAAAATTGATGCAATATGCGAGATGGAAAATTAGGTAGCCCAGATATTTAAGCAGGCCGATTGAGCAACATCAGACCTGAGACAGTCATTCTGGCTCATTGCCTACTGCCCAAGGGTCCTGAATGTGTTTATCTCTCCTTTCTAATAACTTGTTTAGTCAACACAATTTCACTTCATCTTAGGTACACTTCGTTTAAACTTGATGCATAGAATTTCATCAGATTTTTACTAAAAATAAATGTTTTTATTTTCTATTATAGACTATTAAAATTTCATCCAACCTTGCCATATCTTTTCTCATCATCGATTGGTGATCATTTTGTAGCCATTTGGAATTCTGAAACCGGGAAGCATATCTCTTCTTTAGAAGGTCATCAAAGCAATGTTACCAGTTTGGATTACAATATTGAGAAAAATCAACTGGTTACGTAAGCATTAAAATTCTGTTGGTCATTGTATTCTTTTAGTTGTGGACGGGATAAAGTAATTATTTTATGGTCTTCTTCTGACTTTACTCAACAAAAAGTTATACCAGCCTTCGAAGTAAGTTTATATGTGATATTTTAAATTTGTGTATATTTATATCTATTTGGTACTGGTTAAATTCATGTAGCGAGAACAATTATACTCCTTCTTTACTTGTTGTTAAAGACATTTTCAGGATAATGAATACCTTCTGTCTGTTCTTATTATGGTGTCGTCAGTAGGGTCTATCTGCAACTTTAAGGGAACTGATCTAATTGATTGGTAACTGGAGAGTAACCAATTTCATGTTGTCTAGTCATGTGTTTGTCTACCAAGTTAGGAAACCAACCATCATGGTGCACTTTGATGTATGTTAGCTGGTTGAAGACTATCTGCCGGAGGTTGTAGGCCTAGGTTTCGTGTTTGTTGGCGCTCATCAGCAAGGCATATAGGAAACCTAAATACCTAGCAAGAAAACATCAGTTTCAATAGACAGTGGTGATGTAAAGTGTTTATCGGCTTGGCGTATGTGAACACATATGTGCATGCTTTGATTGTGGTAGAAACGTTGCTACTGAAAGATCATCCTTCTTAGGGAGGAATTGAGAAGTTAACGTAAGTTAATCTAGTATTACTTTCCGTTTGCTGCATAAGAAAGACACATTTTTAAATGTTGTAAGTTAATCTTCAGCGAAAGTCTAGGGAAGGTCAACACTATGAGGAACGGTTCACTTGGCCTCAACCTATTCTCCACCTTCATATGCAGTTTAGATGAAAAATCCACATATGACCTCGAACATTTGTAGAAGTTGAGATAGCTGTTAATAAAGTAACATGAGGAACAACAACTAGTCCTGATGAACTACCCTCCTGAAGTCAGTGAGTAAGGTTTATTTCCCGTATTGGTCAAGTTACCATCTAGATTGTAGAGTCAGGCATGACTAACTGTCATTGGTTTTCACTTATGATGATCGCTGCTTACTAGAGAAAACTGTAAAGTGTACCAACTTGAAAAGCCTCTTTTATATATAGGGTCGTAAACTAAATTCTTCCTTCTGTCTTCATTGCATGTGCAAGCACTAGGGTTTTTGGTTTCTTGCGTAAATCAATATTTATAAGGTTACGCCACACATGTTACTGCTTAGACACCATCACTCTGACCCTTAGACATTATGTATTCATATTGCAGTTTCCTGGCATATTTATTCATAAAACTTTGCCTGTTAAAAATTTCTCACCACTCCAATGAAGTCTTTTAATAATTTTATCGTCAAACAGTTCAGGTTTCACTTATTTCTTCAAGTGAAGTACTTGTGTGTATGTGTGTGCAGAGTGTTGTTGTAAAGTCCTTGAATAGGTATCATAAGTGACCGGATAGCCACGTGAATTACATAGCTTTTTGGTGTCATAATTAGATTAAAGCTGAAGGTGATGAACACTGCAACTATATTTCTGTGTATCTCTTATCACATTTTCATCAAGGAAGGATAAACGCATGATTCTTTGTTCCTAATACTTTACTTTTTATATTTAGAGTCTAGAAGCCTGCATCTTTCTTCCTGTCGGTGCCCTCGAAAATCATCTGGGTCGCAGTTTTATTGAGAACAATACATCTCTATTATTGACTGGTGGTCAGTGGGGTTGTCTGCGTGTTTGGGATCCAGACACTGGACGTTGTGTGTTGGAGATCAAAGGTCCTTTGGATAGAACGCAATTGGATTCTGCTGGGTCTGAGTCAACACAAGGTACACTGGATCGTCACTCTATTGACTATGGACTTCATTCTATCAGTAGTTTGAAGATTTGCAATGTTAAAAGCACTGATGATACTACTTCGAATGAAAAGAATGTCTTTACCCCGAGATTAATTCTTGTTCGCCAAAGTAATCATGTTGAATTCTATAACCCATTGGTGGCTAAATTAACAGCTGAGGTATGAGAATTCTAGTTCATGAATTATTCATCTGATAATTTACATTTGGGAAACAAACTATTTTAGACTAACTTAACTGAATTTCGCCTAAATATGAGAAAATGATCCCACTTCGGCGTTATCAGTTTGTTACTTATTCTCTATTCACATTGGGTGATGATTGAAGGTGAAATGAAAATTTAAACCGCGGTGGGATTCGAACCAGCGGCCACCGGGTTTCTGGTCCAATGCTTAGTTGGTAGAGCACCGGGCCGGGAACCCGGTGTTGGCTGGTCCAAATTCTGCCGCGGTTCAAATTTTCATTTCACCTTCAATCATCACCCAGTATAAATACTAGTCTGCTAAACCATGACTGCTATCTCAGGTAGTCAAAATGATATTCTCTATTCATCAAAACATCCTGGGATTCATTGGGATGGGATAGTTCTGAAGACTCGTGCTCTATGTGTAACGTTTTGTCATATACGGTATGCAAGATATCGGTTGGTTTGATTGCATATTGTTTCACTGTGTGATACAACGACGTCACATTCCATTCAGCAACCCATCAGTATTGCACATCATCCAGCCTTATCCCCTATAGTAGTATCCACATCGCATATTGGGATGAATGATTACCCTATCTTATCCTCTTTATGTGTTCATAAGCTCAGACTTATAAAATGAACGTGTAGTTACATATTAACATGTTAACAGGTGGTGAATTTGCCTTATGAGTATAAGTTGATGATAACTGGCAAAACGTTACACTTGAAATCCACAACTCGGATTATTTCGGTTTTCAGGCTGATCAGTTTACATCTGTCACCCAAAATTTCTACAGCAATAAGTTTAGATAATGTTCTGACGGTGATAAATTGTCATCATTCGAGCCATCTATTGCGAAAAACTGACTATCGCTGGGATCTTTGGGTCTTATGAATCATAACCGTCAATATGGTTCGTTAGAATTTTCATCTAATCGAAGATCACACCTTTGTTTATTCTGTATTCGTCGAATCGAATCAAATTGAACTGCACATTGTGCACATTCATGCAGTAGACAATGAGCCGCACCAGTTGCATGATGATTAGTTTTACTACCTGGCTGCGCGAACCTCGATAAGCAGGGTAGGGTAGGGTTCGGATCTGCAACCCGATGAGCTACAGCTCCATTTAACAGTGCCAGTTGATACTATATGTCATTTGAGATGTTGGATAAAGGGTGTGCAATTGGTTAAAATGTGTTATGACGTTTAATGTTTGAATTAACGTGATTCACTTTCTTTTCAAACAGTTTCTAGGTGATATTGGACAAGTTGACCAGTTATGCATAGCAGGGAAAAACCATAATTTCCTTATTCTTGCTGATGCATCACCTCATCTTAAGATCTTTATGAATCCCTATGGACTTGGTTTAAAGCAAGAAACTGATCAAGATACTGCTAAGTCTAATGGGAAAAGAAGTGGTTCATGGAAGTGTCATCTTATTCCTGGTGGTCATACAGATGTGATTATGGATTTGACTGTATCTGTATGCGGTCAGTGGATTGCAAGTGGTTCAAAGGATCAATGTATTTGTTTATGGCGTTTGAAAGAATCAGACGATGAGTTACTATCTCAATCCTGTAAAAAGATCCCTGCTAAAGTCGATCTTATAACACGAATCCAAAAGGCACATGCTGCCCATATCAGTGCAGTCTGCTTTGACAAGTAAGATTGTGAAGTTTACTGAATTACATTTTACCAACTGAAGAGGAGGATGGCATGCTACTGAACAGCATCGGTTTTATCATTTCATGATACTTGTGGATAACGCCTTAGCATTTGAAGCGATCCGGGGTTGTTTTGAGTTTCAGTAAGAAACAACTTCACTCACTGGGGTCCAAGTGTGTGCAGCTGACGAATCTCAAACTAGACAAAACGGACATCCTGCACTCCACTACTAGGCACCACCAAGCAAATTGCAACCTTGATATTGTTATCAAAGTAAAGTAATTGCTAGAACTTAAGGATTTTTCATATTAGAATGTTGTAAATCTTGTTTTAATGACTGTATGTAAAATTGAAGAAATTGTGCACATTAGGTACTTGGACCCATATCATATCATTGTTATGGTCACTTACTTCATCATTCATCAATTTGACGCGTAGCTGGTCTACTGTAAAGCTGGAATGATTCCACCAGTACATAAAGGTGATCACTATTACCCTGTTGCTCATAGAGATTGCAGACACGTGTTGTTGTTGAGGACTTACCAGCAAGCTGCCTGGAACGTGTGTACTTAGCTGACGATTATTTTAACGTATAATTAGAAACTGGATAATACAACAATCTCGCCGATAAAATAAAACGATTTCTATCCTGGTAAATTGGTAACAACTGTGTTACAACTGATTCATTCCAGTACATCGCCATAGATTTTGAAATGTCCTCATAAAAATCCCAACAAATCTGTGAGTGGTTGATGACCAGGTTGTAGCGGAAGGAAGTCTTTACCACTGAATGTTAAAGGGCTACGAGTTGCTTGCTTCAGCTGAAGACATTCCATTAGTGCACTGCACCATTTAAAGCTAACATCAATATACTTCAATATACTTTCAGCAAAATTAGATATTTGATAATATCACCATACGAAATTATATTTCCGTGTAACGGTTCAAGTTAACACATCTATTTCCCTGTTTTCTATTCTACTTTTAATATGTTAATTTGTCTGTTTGCCCCAAGGACGCCCACATTGTATGTAAACGCCAGACTTACTCCCGTAGATTAATATATCTCGGGGCAACCGTTGGGGAATCATTTTAATCCGAGGTCCAACTGGAGCTTGAGAACAACGAACTTGATAAAACTAGACAGGTTTCATACTTGGACGAGGTTGCAACGATCACAATTTCACACTTCTATAGGTTCTGGAACACAGGCAAACTTGCTGGCAGCCGACACTTGCGATATTTCTCGACCTGAAGGTGGCATTTGACTATCGACCGTGTTATGTTGTGGTGATGTCTGACTGTAAAGGGAGTACTGAACAAGTATATAATACTTATCAAAGCTCTACTCGAACTTATGCAGCTGTGTAGGGGCTTATAGTGAGTTGTCATGTAGATTGAAGACAACTAGTGGTGTCCACCAGGGATGTCCACTGTTACCGTTCCTGTTTAACTTCCGTGTAGATTTATTAATGGAAATAACCGTAAGTACTTCTGACTTCAAAACTGACCTACTCCCTGCAGATGATGCCCTGCTAGGAGAGGATACTAGCAAAATGCAGTCTTCTAAACGCGTTGAGTGGAAATGTGAGTGTTTAGGATGCGTCTTGCAGCGGTCACATGTAAGATGATGCTATGGAACTGGTCTGCAACAACTACCAGTTAAATAATAGGGAGTGAAGTTGTGAGATGTTTCGACCACTTCACTTACTTGGGAGTCACATCAGCTGATGAAATCTGACCTCGGCATTTGTCAACTCTCATCATCTGTGGCACCGACTGGGGAGATATCCGACCACCTTTAAAGGATGCGCTGTAGTCCGTTGAATCTTGTTACATGGCTGGCTGTGAGACACGATAGTTGAAAGTAGAAGATATGAGATGGTTAAAATGTTTGATCACAGGTGTCTTCGTATCATTGGTGGGTTATAGTGGGGATGACTGTGTGAACAATGCTGAGGCTAGGTGGAGGGTATTAGGCAAGACAGGCAAGAGGATTGATGACGTGGTTTGGACATGTATTGCGGATTGTGAGCAGCCACCTATGCCGAAGTGTGATGCTAGGGGAAGTTGGATTAGGTGGAAAGATGTTCGAGGGTGAGGAGACTAAGATGTGGTACTTATGCATCGGGTGTGTAACTATTTATCTTTGGTGTATGGGTATTTGTGGACTACCTGACTGGGGTTGGCAAGACGAAAGTAATAAATGGTTGGAGACCCTTGTTGACATAGTTGAAAACCGATCACAGTGGTGAAGGTGTATTCACTATTTCACGTTTTCTAAAGCTTGAATATTTTCACCCTCTTTGATTTGAAACTTCATTCTCCTCCCATAGACCTATGTGTGCTCTGATATCAGTATTTTCCATCCACTTGTTCCTTGTATACTACTGGTGGGAAGTGTGGCAACTTGAACTGATGCACTTGTGTGAGGGGTTCTACGTTGATTTTCTTTATCTGTCTCTCTCTAGATTGATATCCACTTTGATTGAAGTCGAGTCTCATCAGTCCACTACTGTCTTCCTCCTTCTGATAGGCAAGCCCGTTGTCGAGTATTGTATAGTTTATTCGGTATCCAAATTATACGCCATCTAGTTAATTGTATCCATAGTTCTCAACAACCCCGGTTGGAAACTGTTGACTACATTGTCTTGTGGCTTGGGATGCGTCTCACTGAAGTCTCCACCACATTATAGACCCGAGTGCGGCTCACCTATCCTCTAGGAGGCCCGATCTGTGAACCCATAGTGCTGACAAACTATCAGTGGTGAGCTACTCAAATACAGCTAAGACGGGTTAACGACACCAACATTCCAGACTGAATATCAGCCTCCTCCACAAGTTAAAACTACACCCATCTGTGGGAATTGCTTCAACAGCAATGACTACCAAAACTAGGCAGCTGAATTCACCTCACCTTTCGGTTGTACTACTCTTAGCACACTGGACGGAAGCATGACGACTAACAAAACTATCCTTTGCTTTGAAAACTCGTGCCACTGATTGCACATGGATCTTATTGACCATGGTTTTCGTTAAGTCAACTTGACAGTGTATTGGTTGATATTATGTTGGAGTCATGAGGAGGGTCACTGTCGTAATCAACTAGAATTGACCCATAATCCCCGATGCACAAAGCACTTTCGGTTTTCGTAAGCCAGCAACTCAAACCCAGCACCACACAGCCGCAGCATATAGAGCTTTTTCACATTGACGCCCTTGCACACAACTGTGGAATGGGCCTATGTTGCCTTGAAGTCTTAATTACTCTTCAGTTAGCAAACTTTACTGATTTTCTTACATTCAGTCATAATAGCACCTTGTTATTAATTCAGTATACTCTAATATATTAGTCAGATTATGTATTTTAAAAATTCTTCCTTGCTTATCTTCACAGATTGACGACACATTTAATATCTAGTTCAGAAGATGGTATTTTAAAAGTCTGGAACGTTCAGTGCGATAACTTAGAGAATCCAGAAACCATACTGTCAGAATCGAACACTGTACATGGTGCTCATGGCGGGGTTATAAATTCAATTGATGTATCAGTTGATAATCGTCTTGTTGCTACAGCGTCACGGGATAAAACGGTGAAGGTAAATTACACTTGTTTCTGTAATGTGTAGAATTCTCTGTGTGAGACTATGGAACAGTTTTGCTAATAGTCATTTAGTATTGCTCAGGGATTCTGTATATTACTAATAGCGTCAAATGGGTCGAGTTATCAATTCTTCATATGCTGTTACACGTAAAGTAACCCCATAACTGTGTCGATTTCTGTACCGGAATACCGACCAAACTCAGTAGTGTATGAGGACTGACTACGCTACCTAATCACCCAAAGCAAATAAGAAACCTGTGACGCAATGGTATCAGTTTAACTGTGCACAACCTCTGAGCAGTGTCGTCACGTTGTATCGTTGTAGTTATTATCGATATTATCTTTGGCCTTTCTCACCTCTCATCATCAATAAGCAAAGTTTTAACTCAACTATCTATGTATCTGTTCGCTAATTTCACTTATTGTTAGTTTTTCGTTCCATTAAATTATAGATATGGGAATTTAAAAAACAGTGTTTACAGTGCCAAGGAGTTTTGAAAGGTCATCGTAGAGGTGTATGGTCGGTTTGCTTTTCAAAATATGAAAAAGTAAGGCTTATTTATGTTTTTTGAACTCTTTGTTTGAAATATTGGAAAGTGGTCACTGTTATTTATTATCATCATTATTAGTTGTAGTGTCGGTGTTATTAGTATTCATATAGTCATCCAACGACCTCATAAGCAATGTAACCCAACCAAATATGTAATTGTGTTTATGATGCCTTATGATATTACCCAATTGCCCTGGCCGGAGTGAATAGAATGAGATATGTATCTGGGACTTTGTAAAATGGTTGGAGTACTTAAGCAGCCATAAAGGAAAGTCAAAGTTCCATCTGGACTTTCAGCTCACTGATTCTGTGTTTTGGAAAGCTGTGTATCACGTTCACTTTGAATTCATTTCTGAGATTCACACAGCAGTTGTACACATTTCTCGGTTAGATATGAGGCTTCTCACTTTCGATGATAGGTTATCATTCTAACAGTTCGATTGTTATTGATTCATTTCTAGGCTAGACTGATCTATTCTTTTAACTTTTTTCCGCCTTTCAATATTCGTATTCCCACGGTCGTCAAGTTTTCCTGGTGAAATTAAACGATAAGAATGGGAGAAAATCTCTGCAAAAGGTGACCTTTAACAACCAATCACTACAACTTGTAGTTGTTAGCAGAATTCGAATGAAACTTCCACCAACAAAAATAGGTATACAAGATAATAAAGGAAAATATATTTGTAAAATCCCAATGAGGTAGAAAAATAAATTTCTGACATTTAGCAACTTCGTGGAAGTTGCTTCTTCAGAGAATAAAACCTATACAAGTTATCACATTTTTAAATAGTTAATGGTGATGAATTAGATCCCATTATTCATACATAATGATAATATGGGAGTGTGTCATCTTTATCAACTATAAGTCCATGAGTTCAAGGTGAAAATGTGAGAAATCAGTTTCGATATGTGTATGTACTTAAGTTTTGATTAGTGTGTGTTGTTTTATATCGGATACACTGTCCAGTTTGGTATTAATCATGGACTGATATAAGTTGTAGGAACATTGGAAACTTGGGAGCACTGGACAGTTGTTTCGTCTTAGAATGGGACTCTTCAGTATTGCTTACCCATGACCCCACACCGCCAGGGATTGAACCCAGGACCTTCAGGTTCCGTGACCATCACGTTACCATTTAGCCACTGGGTGGGAATCCAATGGTCCATATTTCCAGATTCTGTTAGTTCACAATAGGTAGATCTTCGTTTTTATTGAGTGGATTAAGATTCACCATAATGTGAAATGCCTTAGCTATCCGTCTTTCCTTGTAGTTTGAAGAATCTTTTTGAATAAACTTGATATTTCCAATGTCAATTGGCGATCTGATTTTACATGTTTTGCTGTTAAATAAGACCGTCGTCGCACAATGTTTAGCTGAATTCGATTTAGGTTCTTAAAGATCAAGGTCCGTCAGACTACACCATGATATGGTTACAGGAAGTCTTTCAGTGTTAGTCTGAGCCACTTAAGGGAATGTAGACTTCCCGGTTGGGATGCTCATGACAGTTGAAACCAGTAGTTGGAGACTCTAGGTGACATGGCTAAGAATCGATGTCAGTGGCGCAGAGATGTATTCACACATTATCCTCGTAATGAATTCAGTATCTTCTTATTCGTCCTACCTCTCTCCTACTACTTTCTACTGCTTATAACCGACTCTTCACTTCTTTATCTTTCACCTTAGTGCTTTGTTTTTGGTTGAGGTGTGGCAACTTGGATAGGTATGCAGTAATGCCTGGTGCTATTTCGGTGTTGATGATGATGGTGAAGTAGACCCTTGACAAAGAGGAACATTAGTTAGTTATATGAACTAGTTAATTTGAACACTATTTTCTAAAAAATCCTAGCAGAATTATCTATACATACAGCATTTAACAAAAATGGACGCACAAATCTAATCTTGGTCGTGTTTCCCATCAATCAGCTTGACTTAATCTCATAAAACAATATGATTACCGAGATATTTTGGAAAGTTATCATTTTATATGCTACGTGCTTTATTGTTTTCAAGGTTGTACTTACTGCTTCGGGTGATGGAGATGTGAAACTGTGGAATTTGAAGGATTTTTCGTGTATGAGAGTAAGTTATCTGTTATCGATAATTTTATTATTATTATTAGTCCCTGGGTCCCTGATGGAACATAGGGCTTCTACTGAAGCACGTCTCCAGTGAACTCTGTTCTCTGAAATCTTTTGAACCTGGCTCCACGACAGCCCACAAGCTCTCATTTCCTCCTCGCACGACCTCCTCCATGTCACCCTTGCCTCGGACGTCAAACTCGTCGCTTCCCATGGGTGTTCTACTCGAGCGACTGGCCTGACGCGTGATGTCTCCAGTCGGTCTTCTCAGTGTATGCCCAATCCATCTCCACTTCCTCCTGCATATTTGTTGGGTGATAGGTTCTTGGTTGGTTCGTTGTCAGGCCAGAGTTTCTTGTTGCTCATTCTTTCTGGTAATCCATCTGATCTTCAGTAGCGAGCCAGCGTAAGCAGTTGTTGATGAATGTCTGTAGTTTATTGGAAATGCCTTTCGTGACGCGCCAAGTCTCTGGACCATACAGAAGCACCGACTTGACCGACATCAGTGTCGAAAATTCGGATCTTGTTCGTTGTGCTGAGTGCAGAAGATCTCCACACTGGTTTCAGGCTAATGAACGCCTGTCTTGCTTTTCCAATTCTGACTTTGACATCCTCGTCTGTGCCTGTGCTGCCTGTAGTTGAAACAGTGCTTCCTAGATAGATGAGGGAGGTTACTTCCCTTAAGTTTCTCCCGTTGATGGTGATTGGAGTTTGTCGTTGTTGTTGGAGTTATTGGTGCGGTATCTTCATCACCTCTGTCTTCTGTATATTCACTTGAAGTCCCGTCTTCGCTGCCCTGCCTCTTCTGTCAACTTGTTAGTTTTCGTCTGTAGATCTTCAAGTTTATGTGACATCAGGCACAAGTCATCGTTGGCGAAATCCAGATCTTCTAGGTCCTTTTCCGTGGTCCAGCGTACCCCCCTCTTCTCGCTGCCTACTGTTTGCTGCATGATCCAGTCGACCACAATCAGGAATATCATGGGGGATAGTAGGCAACCTTGTTTCACTCCTGTCTTCACTTCACTTCAAAAGCATCACTGAGCTTCCCATTGTGAATTACTTGGCATGTGGCATCTTCATATAGTTGTTGAATGAGGCGGATAAAGGTTTGCGGTACTCCGTAGTAATGAAGCAGTTTCCAAATTACCTCTCGGTCGACGCTGTCAAAGGCCTTCTCAAAGTCGATAAAGTTGGGGTAGAGAGCTGATCGCCATTCTATGCTCTGTTCTATGATGATGCGTAGTGTAGCGTTGCAATTTGGTCTGCACATGATTTGTACTTCCTGAAGCCTACCTGTTTCGGTCGTAGTTTTGAATCCAGTGCATCCTTAAGCCTCACCAGGATGATGCGGCTTAATATTTTGCTTGTTCTGGGTGGACAGGAGAGTGATTCCTCTCCAGTTCTTGCAAACAGTGAGGTCTCCCTCCTTCCAATCTGCAGGTACCTTCTCTTCCTTCCCCACCTTCTGCAATACTGGTATGGTGTGAGCATGTCCGCTGTTGTCTCTGCGTCTGTTTTCAGTGCTTCTGGTGGGATCCCATCTGGTCCTGCTGCTTTCCCACATTTCAGTAGTTTTATGGCTTTCAGGACTTGTTGGAGGATTTATATTCACTTGTAGTTCAGCGGCTGTAGGTGGTATTTCTGGACGAAGTTTAGGTGGTGGTCGATTCAAGAGCTTCTTGAAGTGGTCAGTCCATAGTTTCCTTTGTTTCTCTTCTTTCGTAATTAAATTTCCGACATCATCTTTTATTGGTTTCATCTGCGTTGATCTCTTCCCAGATATCAACCTGGTTATTTGATACAATGTTGTCAGGTCTCTCTTACCTGCAGCCTGTTCTGCTTCACTTGCCAGTGTTTTGTAGAATTGTCTTTTGTCTTTCCGTGCACTCTTCTTCACTTTTTTGTCCAGTGTTATATACATTGTACTCAGTTCCTCATGTCGTTGAGCATCCTTGTACTGGTTTATCTTCTGCTTCACCATCCTCCTCTCCCTGCTCTATCAGTTTCCATGTGTCTGTCGAGAATTATTCCTTATCTTCTTTAAGCTTCCTTCCTAATACGGTTGTGCAGGTTCCGCTCCACATAGCTTTCAAAGAATTTCAGTGTTCTTCCACACAGGTTTCTTCAGGGATGTTCCTCGATATCTCCCATTTTGTCTTGATGGCTGACGTGAAGATTTCCTTTGTAGTTTCATCCTTCAGTTTCCGAGTGTTGTACTTGAATTGAGGTCTATCACCAGCTTCCTTGAAGGCTTTTAACTTGATTTGGAAGGTAGGTTCCTTGCACTAGATACTGGTCTGATCCTACATCTGTTCTTCTTATTGACCTTGTGTCAAGTAGACTGCGTCTCCACTTTCTTGAGATTGAGATAAAGTGGATTTGATTTTTAGTGTGTCCTGGTGTCTGGTGAAATCAACTACATGTCGCTTTGTGGATATCCTTGTGCTTGAACACACTGCTTCCAATCACGAAATCGTTGAATGCACAGAATTCTGCAAACAATTCTCCATTCTCGTTCGTCACCTCACCGAGCGCTTCTCGGCCCATGGTTAGTTCTCTTCCTGTATTGTCCCCTCCCAGTTTGGCATTCATGTCGCCCATTAGAATTTTGATATTGCCAACTGATGTCTTGTCCAGTGTTGATTGCAGTTGTCTGTATAATTTCTCCTTCTTCTTTTGATCTGCATTATTTGTAGGTGCACAGCGTAGTGTTGTATGATTGTGACTTTCCTTCCTTTTGAGTTGAACCTTGCTGTCATGATCCTGGAGGAGATTGGTTCCCACTGCTTGAGGGCCTTCGATGCTGTTGTGGACATCATGATAGCCACTCCATAACTCAGTGTGCTCGTGGTTGTCGTCTGGGTGACCGGAGTATATTATTGATTCTCCAGTTGACAGTTTGGGGAGTCCACTCCTATTCCATCTGCTTTCGCAAATTCCAAACACTTCAACGTCATACCTCTTCATCTCGTTTGCAATCTGGGCTGCCCTACCAGCTGGGTTCAAACTTGGTGTGGACATTCCATGTCCCCACGTTCACTCTTGCTTTCATCAAGAGAAGACACCTCGGCCCGGCCAATTGGCTTCCCGAAGGCTTTCACCAACTGGCGTCATTTCGCCTCTCCGATTCCAGCGAGGAATAATTTTGTTATTATTTTTACATTTCGTGTGTTCTTTGAAGTTTCTTTAGCGGTTAGATTTGTTTTACGGGGTGGGGTTGCTAGCCCTATGCCCAACCTTCCCTCTTTACCCGGGCTTAGGACCAGCTAGTTACTAGTGAACTAGTTAACCAGGCGAGGTTGTTATCGAGAATTGATAGCTTCATTTGTGGTAGAATTTATTTTACTACTTGTATCTCTTATCAGTAGTTCATCTTAAAACTGCATTCTTTTTATTTACCTATTGTACTAGGTTATGATTGTCTAAATTCTTTTGTTTATTTTGGGCTTGAACACATTTTAGTTGTTTAACTTTACATTCAGCGGATGAATGGATACAACGCATTAACCATGTACAAGTCATTGCACTACACAATGATTTATAATATTATATAGTGACCGATGATGATACCAAAGTATGGCAACTTGAACCGATCCACCTGTGTGCGAGGTTCTACGTTGATTTTTGTCAGTCATTGTTATTTTGTCAAAAAGTGGTTTTATGAAGCAGCATAAGAACTCGTAATCTCATTAGTTAAATATCACCCGCCTTAGTGAGTGACGATGCTATTCATGTATGTGAAAATTATATCACGTATGTGAGGCGCATTGTCACGGAATGACTACACATTCTTTGATTTAAAATACCAGTGTAATGCTGTGCCATGAATTTCTTTTTGTATAAAGTATGCCTCACGTGTATAAAAGTAGTAAGATATAGTTATTCTGTTGATTAATTCTACTCAGAAAGTTTTCAGATGGCAAGCTAATTTTTGTGATACAATTGCACCATGGTCATCCGATTTAAGGCGGCAAAGTGTCCTTGAAACGTCGTCTAGTACAAACTGCTACATCCTTGTGATCTGTACCCAGTCAAATCTTGTGTGACTGATTCACCGAATAACTGAATACTTGCAGGAATAAAATCAGATAAAACTCGCTTCATCATTTGTAAGTAGTATAACTCTGAAAGCCATAAGAATAGGTTGCGATGTGAAAGGGAGAAGTTTGATACATTGAATGATCTCTGGAGGGTACTCGACTTGAAGTTGTTTTGTTTTAAGCACCGATCGAATTCTGTCGGTCACTTTACAATGTAGCCACCAGGCTAGTTGACTCAACATTACGATGAACTCACTGGAATAAATGTTAGTTGAATGTCCCGTCTGGGGTTCGAACCTACGTCACCTAGTTGTGCACTGACTGGTCATTGGAGGTTAACCAACTTCATGTTGACTAGTTCTAAGTGCTGACTGACACCATTTCAAATCTTAAGAGGGACATCAGCTCCATCAAGGTTGCAGATACAGCTTATTGATGAGTGCTAAAGAGCGCGTAACGCAGGTCAAGTAGGGTTTTCTGTTGATGACTTTCACCCAACTGTCTTAGATGTATTTCGTCGTGAACTCGTCTGTATAGAAGTTTACTATTTGCGATATTAATGATGATAAATTAGTGCATAATATTAGTTTTATTGCAATGTATAAAAACGGACTAGTTCGAATATTCACAGTATCATTGTGTATAATAATGTCTGCATATACTTTCAGTGATCGGTTGTTTGTTTTCCTAACCATCTCCCATCTGTATTTCTAAGGTATAACAACTAATGTGTGTGTATAAATGTAGGTTGACTGATGTTTACTTGTTTGTTTGTTGTTTTTGCAGACTTTGGAAGGTCATGATCAACCAGTCTATAAAGCTGTCTTCCTTTCTCAAGATAAACAGGTGCTGTCATGGTAAGTTAATAAGGCGAATTTAAATAATACTGTAGGATGTAGGATGTACGACAATGCTTCAGGAATGGTCTGCTGCAAGTAGTCCCAATGTCATGATAGAGCGTGATGTGATTGAATGTATCAACCACTTAACTTACTCGGGAATTGCACCAGTTGACGAAATCTGACTTTGGATAGAGAATACCCGTTTGGCATTCACCAGTTTGCGTCATCTGTGGCACCGACTGGGGAGATATCCGACCACCTTTAAAGGATGCGCTGTAGTCCGTTGAATCTTGTTACATGGCTGGCTGTGAGACACGATAGTTGAAAGTAGAAGATATGAGATGGTTAAAATGTTTGATCACAGGTGTCTTCGTATCATTGGTGGGTTATAGTGGGGATGACTGTGTGAACAATGCTGAGGCTAGGTGGAGGGTATTAGGCAAGACAGGCAAGAGGATTGATGACGTGGTTTGGACATGTATTGCGGATTGTGAGCAGCCACCTATGCCGAAGTGTGATGCTAGGGGAAGTTGGATTAGGTGGAAAGATGTTCGAGGGTGAGGAGACTAAGATGTGGTACTTATGCATCGGGTGTGTAACTATTTATCTTTGGTGTATGGGTATTTGTGGACTACCTGATTGGGGTTGGCAAGACGAAAGTAATAAATGTTTGGAGACCCTTGTTGACATAGTTGAAAACCGATCACAGTGGTGAAGGTGTATTCACTATTTCGCGTTTTCTAAAGCTTGAATATTTTCACCCTCTTTGATTTGAAACTTCATTCTCCTCCCATAGACCTATGTGTTCTCTGATATCAGTATTTTCCATCCACTTGTTCCTTGTATACTACTGGTGGGAAGTGTGGCAACTTGAACTGATGCACTTGTGTGAGGGGTTCTGCATTGATTTTGTCTTTCAGTCACTTTAGAAGTATCAATATGTATGAACTTATTCAGTTGCTGATAATGGTTTTGATGTTAAATCTGCATTGCTTGAATTGATTTAATCGGCGACTATCTGCATATGGGCTCCTTTACGGTTGCCTGGATATTACCAGTATTTTCATTTTGATAATAGTGCTGCATAGTAGATAGTAGCTAAATCCAAGAGGCCCGTTCCATCCTACTTGTGACTCGTGAGTTGTATGTATTTGCCTTTTAGTGAATGATGCTGTTCCCAGCAATACTGGAACCCAAGAACAATCGCTTCAAACACCAGAGCGATATTTACCAGACCACTGAGTTATGATAGCCACTCTTTGTATGACGGGTAAAGTGTGGTTTTTGTGTTTTGCTTTGAAGTCCCCGTTATATCCAGCTGACGAGTTCCCGATGGGACGAAACGCACTTCCCTGATTTCAGTGCTAGCTGCTATCCATCAATAATATTATGCATAATAGTTGATACTTATTTTCAACATTATCGGGAACCAAAATGGCTTTTCATCGATACGTATCCGATTCAGAATTCTTGATAAAAATCATCGATAGTGTGTAACCACGGAATTTCTGCGCTTCTAAGATTCATTGTCAGCGTATCTTTTGATATGTATAAAAAATTCCTCTCCATTGAAGCAACGTCTTTTTATAATAGCGCCAATATGTTGGAATTCTTAATGAATCCATTACAGCTTTCAGAATCTCTAACCCATGCTAGTTTCGTTATGCATTGCATTTCGCTTCAGTTAACAATCATGCAATCGGAGCAGTTTTATTTTATGTAGACAAGAGGTTAATTAGCGAACAGTACCTTTGGTTACTTGAGTTGGTTCTGATTTATCCACAATATTGTCAAAGCTTCAGGCGTTGATGTCATAACCGATCAGAAATTTCCTTTTTTTACCTTCTAAGCTAGTCTAATAACTGAACCGTTAATGGTTATCAGTTGGTTGTATTATTTGATAAAGAGCGTGAAACTTGGGCATTGTGATGAAATATATATATATATATATATATATATATATATATATATATATATATATATATCATAGTCAACCAGCGTTATTCACTGGATAACCTTTCAGACGTCATCCATCATCATCATCATCATCATCATCCAGATCAATATAGGACCAGCTATTACTGCATAACGGTCAGAGCTGCCACAGCTCATATCAATACATCAAGTAAAAATGCAGTGAAGTGGAAGATGAAGAGACGAAAATTTGGTCAGAGGAAATATAAAGTGCCAAAGAGAGAAAGGAGTGAGAAAATGGTGAGATTCGGTATAGCGTTGTTAACGATGAGGATAATATCTGTATACATCTGCGCCACTGACTTCGGTTCTCAGCCATATCACCTAGAGTCTCAAACCACTGGTTTCTCTTGTCCTGCGGACCCCAACCAGCTAGTCTGCATCGCTTCACATGGCTCAAACCAACAGTCAGAGACTTCATACATTGGTGCCATGTTTTAGTCTGGCCACCTCGAGCCTTTTTCCTGCCTACACCTACTTCGGCCAACATTGTGTGACGAGGCAATCGGCGACTAGGCATACGTAACACATGTCCCAACCAGCCATCTCAGTCGATGAAGATTCACAGCCATGTCAACTAACTTACCTCTTCTCCCTAAAACTCTAAACCTGACGTCAGCGTTACTCATGTGGTGACACCACGGAATACGGCCTATACTATGAAGGCAATGGTGGTCAAACATCTGAAGCCTTTTCATGTCTTTCACGTTCAATGGCCATGTTTTACAGCCACACAGTAGAACAGAGTGGATTGCTGTGCAACATATGTGACCCTTAATGGACAGTCGAATATCGTGACGGCGCCACAGGTAATATAGGTTGGCAAAAGCCAACCGAGTCTTGTGTATTCGTGCAGAGCTTTCACCAGCCACTAAGCCACCAGGGTTCAGACATAGTTTGTTGTCCATAATCGTATCAACATTTAAGCGACTATGGACAATAAATTGTCTGAAATGTTATATAGTAAATAATAATTATAATAATAATCCTTTTATTCGATACAGTATGTAACCTTCAGCAAGTAATATTCCAAGAAATTACCTTCCAGAACAATATTTTTAAGCGAATTCATTTTAACATCTGAATAATGTTAATAATAACAACAGTATTAAAGGCAATACTATGAAAGAAGCAGCTGCTGTTGAACTGATTACCATCTGGTCTCGGGAATGAACAGAAAAGCTACAGCATAAGTTTGATGCTGATAGTGCGATTCGAGCCAAGTATCCTAGCGATAATGATATGATGTATTGATGGTGTTATTATGTTAGTAACAAATAGAAGATCTGTCTGACAACACTTTAGATCAGTTATGTAATTTTTTAAGTGATCTAAAGCTTCATAATGTTGGTTATCGCTTAATAAAACAGTAGCCTAGTTATTACTTGCCCAACACTGAGATTTAAGAACCCAAATTAACGAAACTTCTGAAGTTATGCAGTCCTACTTGTCCTCTAGCTGACGTCAGTTCTGTACCATAACTGTCTTTAGTCCATACCAAATCCTTTTTTATGAAATATCTATCGAATTTCCTATTTCTTATACTTTTATTAGTTTTCTCTTCTTATTCTTTTGATTATTTAAAGTGACCAAAAAGGTCTAATCAGATTATGGAATATTTCTAAACCACCCACAAAGAAGTTGGAGAAGGGTGAAAATTTTAGTAGACCATCTGAAGAGACCACTTCTTTGGTTTATGAAGCACATGACGGAAGAATATGGTCGTTAGCTGTGTGTCCAGATGAGAGTGGATTTTTCACTGGTGGTGAAGATGAAACTCTATGCTATTTTGAAGTAAGCATAAACTCTAGATTCTTTTAATACCTTTACTTTTTCTTCGTTTTAATGTTTACTGTAAGACATTCCAGTGTAACTGTCATCTTATTGTGGCAGTCAGGTGTGAGCAGTTCTACTCTACACCTATAAAATCTGGCCTCTCCGATCTGAAGATGTGTGATGAATGTGTGGGTTCGATCATTATTGTCTTCTTAGGATTGCCATTATCTTGTGACAAAATCATGTAAGTGATTCTGATGTACGACAGCGTGTGTTTGGGTTTGATGGAGATCGTCATTCAATAAGTGAAGTCATCTGGAAAGACCGGCTTCGGTGGCTTACACATGTGTTGTGCATGTCGTTCCAACGTCTTCCATACTGTTCATTGTTTGCTGACTATGGGACTGGATGAGGGTAGCGGAAGACTGATCAGTGTGTGATGTCGCGCCGTGGGATGAAGAATAATCGTGCCTAGTTGGTATCTGTCAGTGCATCAGGACTCTTTGAGTGTGGTCCGAGAGATCACCTAGCTCAGTGGTTTGAGCCGTTATCAGATGTGGCTCAAAACGGAAACCAGTGATGGTCATTCTGTAGCTTCCTTCTATCCTTTACTGCAGAGAAGTAATGGATGTAGCTTATTGGAGACTACCTTTCGAATCCACTTCCCTTCACTTTGTCTTCATAAAGTTGTTATATTATTTTGTATGGATCATTTCTTGGTGCCCTTTTGCTGTACATGTTTGTTTTGTAATAATAATAATGTCAGAGTAGTCTATTGCAGTGTTTCATCCTTGATATTCTACAACACTGTGTAGTGTATATGGGACAGTTGTGTAATCTCAAGCAGCTAGTTGAATATCCCATAATGGGGAATCATTCTATTGATTTTTATGAAGTGTGACAACAGTAAGATGTTTCCTGTGGAGAACCATCAAGTGCTGCCACTCCACTATGTTCTCATTTTCCGATAGGTGACTTAGAAGAAGTCTAAAGATAGAAGTCTATCATCTTGTGAATTCCTACTTCCAGCTATAAAATGTTTAAAATTACAAATGTGATTGATTGAAACGTGGATTAGGTATCTTGTAAAAGGTCGCATGTAGATTGCCTTAAACGAAATAAATGTTTTTTCAACTCTGATCATGCTGCTAATCCGACCATTTTTATCAGCTTCCAAATCATTTCTAAACACCGTCAATCATCTGCCAAAACTTTCCCAGTTGATTTTCAGATTCTAAGGTAGTAATCACTATTGTTGTGTGCTTCATGTATCACTTATCTCTGTCTCTTGCATTTTTACTACCACTAACTCCACTTTATATATTTTCCAGTCTTGCTAATATGATTGGAATTCATGTGGTAGCAATGCAAGCACATCACCATAATGCCACTGAGGTCGGAATCCAAGGGTTCAAATTTTCTCTCTTCTGTCAGTTCACGATATAGTACGAACTTCATCCAGTGCCATCATTGAGTAACTGTCCTCACATTCAACTTGGTATCCCCCACCGGTTATAACTTCTCACCAAAATCTCGAGAATCCCATCTCGAAGTCACCGTCTAGTGCTCATTAATGACTTACTTCGAGATTTCATTCTCAACGTTGTAATGAGAAGCACTGACCGGTGGGGCACACCGATTCGGATGTTAGGAGAATCAACTCAACGACGATACTGTTGGGTACGATCCCTAGTGGGGTCATGGGTACACACTGCTGAGGAATCCCGAGCCGGGACGAAACGGTTTTCCTATGCTTCGAGGTTTTAAAGGTTCTACAACTCTACTGCTTATCAGAAAAAGGTTGAAACTATCTGGGCACTGTTCTTTACTGACGCTTTTCTCTTCAGATGCTGCAAACCACAAGTAGCCTTGATACTCTGTCCGATTTATGTGGTCTAGCATTGAATCTCTTAAACGAAAACTAGAATCTCACCTCATTAGTGTATAATGTGTACACTAAACGTCTGAAGTAGACTTATTTGTCGCCATTCACTTACATCTGCTGCAACTTCATCATGTTTACTCAATGGGGTTATCTGAAGATTCGGTGGTTGACGAGATCTTGGCGAAAACTGAAAGTAGTTTCAACAGTTGTTGCATACTGAACTCCACCCTGCTTAAAAACTGAAAAAAATGATCATTACCGTTGGAGAATGCGGGCAAATGTTTGGTATATATCATAAGTTTTCGCCCTTAAAGCATTATGTGAACCACTAGTTTGGGGATACCTGTTTATTAACTACCTGAAGAGATTCTTTCAGGACGGAAGTTTGTTTCGCCTTTTTTCTGTAAGGTGCGATGCAACGATTATTATTGTTATTATTATTATTTGTCCTTTGGGTTCCTAGTGGAACATAGGGATTCAGTAGCACGTCGCCATTTCACTCTCTTCTCTGCGGTCTTTTAAACCTGGCTCCACGACTGCCCACAAGCTTTCATTTCTTCCCCACACGATCTCGTCCATGTCACCCTCGGATGCCCAACTCGTCGTTTCCCTTTTGAATTCCACTCGAGGGCCTGACGCGTGATGTCCCCGAATGGTTTTCTCAGTGTATGCCCAATCCAATCCATCTCCATTTTATTCTGCATATTTGTTGGGTGATAGGTTGTTGGTTGGTTCGTTGCCAGAGTTCCTTGTTGCTTATTCTTATCATTCTGACCATTTGATTTTCAGTATCGAGTGAGTGTAGGCAGTTGTTGATATGTGTCCTCAGTTTGTTGGAAATGCTTTTCATAATGCGCCAACTCTCTGAACTATATAGAAGCGCTGCCTTGACTGATATTAGTGTTGAAAATCCGGATGTTGTTCACACTTTATGCTGAGTGCAGTGCAGTGCAGTAGATCTCCACACTGATTTCAGATTGATAAAGGCCTGTCTTGCTGTCCTTCCTACCCTGGCTTAGACGTCCTCATCTGATCCGCCGCCTGTAGTTGAAACAATGCTGCCTAGGCAGGTACGTGAAAGAGACTACTTCCTTTAGGTTTCTCTCGTTAATGGTGATTGGTGTTTGTTGTTGTTGGTGGGGTATCTTCATCACCTCCGTCTTCTCTTCGTTCACCTGAAGCAAGTCCCATCTTCGCTGTCTCTTCTGTTAACTTACCTGTAGATCTTCGAATTTGTGCGATATTAGATATAAATCATCATCGTTGGCGAAATCCAAGTCTTCAAGGGTCTTTTCATCGCTCCAGCATATGCTCCTCCTCTCGCTCCTCATAGTTTGTTGCATAATCCATTCAACCGCAATCAGGAAGATCATCGGTGATAGTAGGCGGCAACCTTGTCTTACTCTTTCCTGTCTTCACTTCAAAGGCATCACTAAGCTTTCGATTGTGAATCACTTGACATGTAGCATCATGTCGCATATAGCTATTGAATGAGGTTGATGAAGGTTCGTGGTATTCCGTAGTGTTGAAGCAACTGCCAAATTACTTCTAGGTCGACGCCGTTGAAGGCCTTTTCAAAGTCGATGAAGTTGAGGTAGAGAGTTGACTGCTATTCTATACTCTGTTCCATGATGATGCGTAGCGTAGCGTTACCATTTTATCCACACATGATCTGTACTTCCTGAATCCAGCCAGCCTGTCCCGGTCGTAGTTTTGAATCCAGAGCATTTATTTAGTGTCCAGGATGATGAGGCTTAATATTTTGCTTAGTGTGGACAAGTGCATGATTCCGTTTTAGTTCTTGCAAAGACTTAGGTCTCCCTTCTTCGGCAGTTTGACAAGGTAGCCCTTCTTCCAATCTCCAAGTACCTTTATTTCCTTCCTTCCAAACCTTCTGCAATATTGGTGTGGTGTGAGCATATCCGCTGTTGTTTCTGCGTCTGTTTTCAGTGCTTCTGGTGCGATTCCTTCTGGTCCTGCTGATTTCCCGCATTTCAGTAACCTTATGGTGTTCAGGACTTCACTTCTGCTTTTGTCGGAGTGTTTGTGTTCACTTTTAGTTCTGTGGCTATGCTGCTGGTGGTATTTCTGGACAAGTTGCAGATAGTAGTCGTGGTCGATTGAAGAGCTTTTGAAGTGGCCAGCCCATCATTTCCATTGTTTCTTCTCTTTGCTAACTAGGTTCCCTTCACTATTTTTCATTGGTTTCATCTGTGTTGATCTCTTCCCACCCACACAGTAACCTGGTTATTTGATACAATGTTGTCAGATCTCTCCTACCAGTAGCCTGTTCTGCTTCACTTGCCAGTGTGTCGTAGAAGTATCTTTTGTCTTTGCGCTCATTCTTCTTCACTTCTTTGTTAAGTGTTTTATAGGTTGTGTTCAGTTCTTCTCGTTGTTCATCCTTGCACTGGTTTATCTTCTGCTTCACCATCTTCCTCTCCCTGCTGTATCAGCTTCCATGTGTCCGTCGATATTCATTCCTTGTCTGGTTTCTTCTTCCCTCCTAACACGGTTATGCAGGTTTCCTTCCACTTCTCCTCCGAAGAGTTGCAGTGTTCTTCCACGCAGATTTCCTCGGGGATGTTACCTGATGTCTCCCATTTTTCCCTGGTGACTGACGTTAAGATGTCCTTTGATGTTTCGTCCTTCAGTTTCTGTTCTGGGTGTTCAAGTCGAACTGTGATCTATCACCAACTTCTTAGAATTAAAGGCTTTCAACTTGATTTTGAATGTAGGTTCCTTGCACTAGATAGTGAGTGATGTGAACCTACATCTGCTTCTCTTCTTGATCTGATCTTGTGTCCAGTAGGTTGAGTCTCTACTTTCTTCACATTGACATGAAGTCGATAAGATTCTTAGTGTGTCCATCTGGTGAAATCAACTCCATGCCGCTTTGTGGATATCTTTGTGCTTGAACGCAGTGATTACCAAATCGTTGAATATGCAGAAATCTGCAAACAGTTCTCCATTCTCGTTCATTTCACCGAGCGCTTCGCGACTCATGATAGGTTCTGTTTCTGTGTTGTCTGCTCCCAGTTTGGCATTCATGTCACCCCATCCATTAGAATTTTGATGTTGCCAACTGGTATGGGGTCTTGTCCAGTGTTGATTGCAGTTGTCTGTAGAATTTCTCCTTCTTGTTTTGATCTGCATTATTTGTGGGTGCACAGTGTAGTGTTGTATGATTGTGACTTTTCTTCCTTTTGAGTTGAACTTTGCTGTCATGATCCTGGATAGGATTGGTTCTCACTGTAAAAGAGCCTTCGATGTTGTTGGGGACATCATGATAGCCACTCCATCAGTCTGCCCATGGTTGTCGTCTGAGTGACAATATCGGAGTAGATTATTGACTTTCCAGTTTGGAGAGTCCACTTCCATTCCATCTGCTTTCGCAGATTCCTAGCACTTCGCTACACCTCATTTCTTTTGCAATCTGGTCTACCTCACCAGCCAGCTTGAAAAATTGTTCGGACATTCTATTTCCCTATGTTTACTTTCGCTTTCATCGAGAGAGAGGAGACACATCGGCCAATTGGCTTCGTGAAGGCTTTCACCAACTGGTGTCATTTCGTCCCTCCGATTCCATCGAGGAATATGTTTATTTATATATTTTTCGTTTTTTTTGTGCTTTGAGGTTTCTTTAGCGATTGGATTGGTTTTTCTATGTAGGGTTGCTAGCCTTATACCCAACCTTCCCTCTTTATTCGGGCTTAGGACCGACTAGTAACTAGTGAACTAGTTAATTATTGATTCCTCATTTTTTGTGAGTGGAATATTGAAGTTAGCACTGATGCTGTTGTCTCGAAAGCTGCGGAAAGCTTGACGAATGCAGTACAACCAAAATTTTGTGTTGTTAGACTCCTGAGATTACTACTGTTTAGCAATGCAAATTATCAAATGGCACAGTCTGTGAGCCGCTTCCGCCAGTAGTTTTGGTGAGTGAAATAAGCAATGAACTTTGACATCATGAGTTTAATTACAGTGCGCAGATAGGTTCAACCTTTTTCTGATAAGCAGTAGAGTTGTAGAACCTTCAAAATCTCGAAGCATAGGAAAACCGTTTCGTCCCGGCTCGGGATTCCTCAGCAGTGTGTACCCATGACCCCACTAGGGATCGTACCCAACAGTATCGTCGTTGAGTTGATTCTCCTAACATCCGAATCGGTGTGCCCCACCGGTCAGTGCTTCTCATTACAACGTTGAGAATGAAATCTCGAAGTAAGTCATTAATGAGCACTAGACGGTGACTTCGAGATGGGATTCTCGAGATTTTGGTGAGAAGTTATAACCGGTGGGGGATACCAAGTTGAATGTGAGGACAGTTACTCAATGATGGCACTGGATGAAGTTCGTACTATATCGTGAACTGACAGAAGAGAGAAAATTTGAACCCTTGGATTCCGACCTCAGTGGCATTATGGTGAATTGCTCTCCGTGGGAACTCTAGGTCCTGAGTTTGATCATTGGTGTGTTCGTGGGTGCACACTGTTGACGAGTCCCGCGCTGGTTCGAAACACCCGTCCAGTACTTTCCGGTCTTCACTGGTTATTGAACAAACCTCCAAATTGAAACAGTTATATGTGGCTCATATAACAACAGAAATTGGTGGTCAGAGATTCTGTATACTATGATTTGAATCGATGTCAGTGTTACAGATGTTTTCACACATTATCCTCTTCTGAGTTGTTACTCTGGATTTCGTGTTTGTCTCGTTCATCTTTGAACTTTTTTTATGATTTTCTGTCACTTTTGACCACTTTCTTATTTGTTTATGTAACTTCTTGGTGCATTCTCGTTTCATATGGTGATATGATGAGTGACAAATTGAATTATTACGCTGTAACTCCAACCGCTTTATATTGATTTCATCTTTTGTTAAGTGTGCATGTTTGTTGGTGTTGTTCCTTTTTCAATGATGACTTACCTGAATATGTCGTCCTCACATTTTAGGATATCACTGAAAAAATATTGAGAGAAGCCTCTGAAGTACAGGAGAATTTTATTCAAACGTGAGTTTAACTATAACCTGGTTACAAAATGAACATTTTAACAGTTGTTTAATAAAGATATACTTTGTTAAGCTTGGTGGTGAAAAGTACTTCTATCTGTCAATGTTATCATCAGTACTTCTTTAAATACTGTCCCAAAAGTCGCCTCTAAAGCAGTGAATGCATTGATAGTAGTTTGTAATGGTTGGCATAATTTGTTAACTTTATTTTTATGTAATGTTTCAGTAGTACTGGTGTGTTTTAGTCACTGAAGACTAAGAGTGTATTTCTGAAGAGTCCTATACTGGGACGAAACAGCCGTACCGGCGTTCCCAGGTTTTCATTGCTTTCCCAACTGACATCAGACTATGATGAATAATACCCTTGGATATTGTCTTTTGTTTGCAAGTTTGCACCATTGTTTTGCTCAATAACTTAGTTTAAGTAGCTTTTTCTTGTTCATCTGGGTTTGACAGCCGCTACATAGAAAGCAGAGAAAATGTATTGCATCCATCGCACAGAATATACATTGACCAATAGCCAATAAAAAATATTTGAGATCAATTTACTGAAATTGGAATGGCGTAAAATGACACTAAGTCAGAAGGAACTCTGGGAACGAACCAACCAACAACCTATCACCCAACAAATATGCAGAAGAAATTGGAGATGGATTTGGCATACACTGAGAAGACCGACTGGGAACATCAAGCGTCAGGCTCTCGAGTGGAATCCAAAGGGGAAACGACAAGTTTGGCGTCCGAGGAGAGGATGACATGGAGGAGATCGTGTGGGGAAGAAATGAAAGGTTGTGGGCAGTCGTGGCACCAGGTTCAAAAGACTTCAAAGAAGAGAGTACAATGGAAGCGTGCTACTGAATCCCTATGTTCCACTAGGAATCCAAGGGAAAAAATAATCATACAATGAAGCTGTATTTAACGCTACTTACAAAAATATATATTAGCAGTTTGTAGCGCAGCATATAGAAACAAAAAGTGATGACAACGATGAGTAGAAATAGAGGCCAGAAGAACACTATACACTGGGATGCCGAACAAAGAGAATTTCCGCAAATATGATTTCATCGTAAGGTGAATCATTTTTTATCGTTACCGATTGTAATTTAACAATAAGAGATCTTGGCTGGTCTTTTGGTATCATTGCTCCAGACCAGATGAAGATACTGTGGCCTACAGTGCTCGAGGAGGAAGACATCAGGAAAAATAATGAGGTAGCTGAAGGTGGGATAACTGGAAAGCACCTTATATAGACGTACCGAATATCAAGGAGTTGGTTAAGAAGTACTAAAGATTATTTACGAAAGATAGAAATCCCTATGACTTGTGTGACGAGGTGAAATATGAAACCCTAATGGTGAATCAGCGAATGATGACTTTTCCGATACATCAAGTTCTTTGTCATTTAGAAGCTGAAGTCGCAAAAAAGGCCCACAGAATGTTAATCGGCAAAGTCATTCAACAGGTTGACAGATAAGCCCCACAATTCACCTGTTCTCGTTATGAAAAACCGAGGAGAAAGTGTAAAGTCAGTGTTCATTTTCGCCTACAAAATGTTAAATTATCTACCGTTGTAGATAGCTGATCGGTTTATCGGGAGCTACCAATGAAAGAAAGTGACAGAAATAGCATCAGTTTATTCAGAGTTTGTTTGAACAAAAATTCAAGAATTATGGAAGTGTTCTTCAGATGACTTAATGATGTGCAGCAAGATGAAAAACAACCGTCTAAAACACGTAGAAGCCGTACTGAAACTCATTGAAGAGTTTGAACTGCGGATAAAAAAAAACAAAATGTCAGTGAAAAGAAGTCTTACATTGTTGAGGGATAACTTGGAAAATGGTGAAGTGAAACCTTTTCCTCAGAAGGTTTTAACGATAAGAATTGCAACAGTACTAAATTCGAAAAGGGGAATTGAGACAGTTCTTGAAGAAAATGATATTCCACAGGTGCTTTGAGATACAATGATACCAGCACCTCTGTACAAGTTATTGAACACGCCGGAATTCGTGTAGTCAAATTCACTATAAAAATATTCGACTAGATTAAAGAACTTATGAATGATAAGCAGATGACTTTAAAACTTCAAATATCAGGGAAGCTTTTCATAGTGTAGGCTGATGCTAACGATAACGAAATAGGTGCAATTCTTAGACAAACTGAATGGCCTATTGAATACACTAGATTTGTTCAGCAGTTGGATAGAAATGCCTAACAATGAAATTGGGCATTGAAAAATTGGATACTTCACTTAGTTGGTCAACATTTCCATATCTAGACTGCTCACAAACCCCTACAGCGATTAAAGACATTGAGAGGTCCCTAGGGGGAAATTATCATGATAGATGCCACGCCTGCAAGTGTACGGTTACGTGATTGGTCACATCCAAGGTTAATAGAATCTGTTAGGTGACTTCTTTTCTAGGCCACACAAAGAAGGTGAACTGCTAAAGTAAATGCACTGAAGCGAGACCTAATAAAACTTGTTAGCTATGAGAGGTTGAGTCTGACCTGTAGTGTAGTAATGCAATCGATAGCCGAGGGAACAAATACAAAACAACTGCCTTCAAATACAAAGTTAATAACAATACTTATGCATTAGACTTTTCTTCAGTACTTTTTGATGAGAATAGTGAATTGTTGACATAGCTTTGTATCCCAGTTCCATTAGATGGAAACAATAGTGTACTTGCATTGTTAGCAAAGTTTTCAATTTAGATAATCCAACAGAGATTTGAATGAATAACCTATTCTTTAGAAAATAAACCTTTCTATGAGTAGATTAAGTAACCCACTAACGGTAACCGTAGTAACTTAAATGTTCAATGCTTGTAGTACTTGTTAAAGTCTATCGATGAAGTTTGTAATCTAACCACTGAACTAAATAATGAAACAGACAGTATGGTGCATTTCACTTTTAGTGTTTGACGTTAAAGGTATCAGTTGAAGTGTTCAGACGGAAGTGGAACTCAATTCACTTAACCAAACTCCGGCATTTTACTAGTTTTTTGTATCATGTAACATGTATACAGTGAATTAATTTAACTAACCAATCACATCACTTGACTGTTGGTTCCTTATTTTCCCGCCAATAAACTGGAAACAGATCGTTTGATCACAATAAATCATTAGAAGAAAGCAGTTGCTTGTGGCTTTGTAATAAAAAGAAAAGAATATTTAGTATCCGCCCTAAAATTCTACCTATAATCAATAATTTATTTCAATTTGGAGGTTTGCAGAGATTTATTTACTTATTTCAAGTTGTTACTAGTCACGGACTGACATTAGTTAGAAAGAACCATTGAAACTTACTCCCATTGGATAGTTGTTTCGTCCCAGTATAGGACTCCTTAGCAGTGCACACTTATCACCTTGCCTTGCCAGGGATCGAACCCAGAACCTTTAGTTTTCGTGGTGAGCATGCCACTATTAAGACAGTGGGTTGGAATCCAATGCTCTCACGTTTTCAATTGTTCTTCAATTGATCTCAATTCTTGATGAATATCAATTTTAAATAATTGATTTTTCGATACTTTATTCATATTACTGAATTGGCGATTTTTGTGTAAGTTCCTACCCGTAAAAAATATTGGTCGGTTATTACCTATAAGGTATCAATATATTGTAAATAATTGTTTGAATCTGATCATAGATTTATCAGTAGTATGTATGCTTTATCCAACAACAATGAGAACGGCCTTCAGAGATAATTAACTAGACTCTATGTGCCGGGATTTTCACCTTTAATCAAATGATGTAAGGACATCGTTTCTAGGTATTCATGCGAAAGCTTAGCTTCTGGTACTATCACGTAGATGTCAAGTATTAACTACAAAATATATGCACCAATCTTAGGGTAAGTCGGTATTTGTTAAAAAAAAGGTAGTAATTATGGTAATTTGCTTGGTTGTGGCCAGCAGAAGAATCCAGGACGCATGTTTTGTCCTATTTGGGACTCGTCAGCGCTTCCTGGATTCTTTTGCCAGTCACAACCAAGCAAATTACCATAATTAGCATTCAGGCAATATGGAGGCATCCCCTCATAGGAGCCCATATGCCAATAGAGGTTGATCAATTCGATCCAATAGAAAACGGAGAATTACAAGCATATCAATAAATAGTAAAAATAGTAATCCCTTGAAATCAGGTTTGTTTTCCAAGCATTTATACTTTCGTGACCAATTGTGTTAGTTTTATTTTATGAAGTGAAGCTTTGAATACTTACTGCTGTCAAGTTTCTAAGGATCTTTATTCATGGCAATGCTCATATCTTTACTTGAGGTTGTATCACACTTGTTAATGGTTTCCATCTTACCACGAATATATTCGTTGGCCTGTGGCTCAGTGATTGGGAGAGATGACCTCGGGTTCGAGTCCATCTCTGCCTACCAAGGTCTAGGCAACCAATTAGTATCATTGTCGTCGTCTAATAGCTATGGCTCATTGCCAACACAGAGTAGCTGAGCATATGTCGTTCGTTCGAAGATATTTTATTACTTATCTTCAATATCAATTGAAGTAATCAGAATATATCTTAGTGTATAATCCTAGCATGTTCAGGGGTAAAAGAAAGCAAGACTTTTCTGAACGTGTCTTAGTGTAAGCCACAGCCTCTTCAGCAGAATAATTCGTACTGAAAAGGAAGAACATTGCCTTTATCATGATTGTGTGCGTGAATAATTTTTTTTCTCTCTCTATTTTAAAAACAAATCTGTAGGCAACAAGAACTCAATAACCTGATGCACAGACGAATGTATGCTGAAGCTGTTCATTTGGCTATCAAACTAGACCAGCCTAAACGAACACTGGATATTTTTCAAGGTAGGCTTTCAAGTTGAAAATGTTTATATAGGTATTTGTGCATTACAACTTGTATACATGTTATCACGTTCTGTAAGATGGTGTGTGTGTGTGCATGGAGATTTATTCGTTTGAAGATGGTTCTTTGAACCAAACAAGCATCAGTCCCTTCTAGGTTAGAGATATGCCTTACTGACGAGTGTCAACAGGCCGATTGCCCCCACCTATCAATGTCCATCATAATGGTGAACCTCCTAGCTTGATGACCACGCTGAAAAATGATCAATATAATTCTATCAGGAATCAGGATTAGATAGCATCAAAATTGGTTGCTCTCCAGTCATCATTCATTGTATATAATCCAATCCTTCAGTAGGTCAAGTGATATCATAATAGCCCAGTGATAACGTCGCTCACTGCAACTAGATGATATAGGTTGGGATCTCCAAAGGAATATCAGTTCCTTCGAGGTCATGACTACACTTTCCTGACGAGTGCCAAAAAACACGAAACCTAGGCGGAATAGGACTTCCTGTTGTTTGCCTCCAACTGAATAGAACAAACTCCATTTACTATGCTCGTTACTGAAGCTCAGATGGCCAGAAAGAATAAGCAACAAGGAACTATGGCCTGACAACGAACCAACCAATAACCTATCGCTCAACAAATATGCAGAAGGAAGTGGAGATGGACTGGACATGCACTGAGAAGGCCGACTGAGGACATCACGCGTCAGGCCAGTCGCTCGAGTGGAACCCCCATGGTAAGTGACGAGTTGGACGTCCGAGGGTGACATGGAGGAGATCGTGCGAGGAGGAAATGAGAGCTTGTGGGCTGTCATGGAGCCAGGTTCAAAAGATTTCAGAGAATAGAGTTCACTGGAGACGTGCTACTGAATCCCTATGTTCCACTGGGAACCCAAGGGACAAATAATAAATAATGTTTATTATTGGCAGATTTGGTGTTGCCATTCTCTCAGTTGAATAGTTTGATTATGAAGCCTTCATTGCTGTTCTAGATACCAGCATCAGTTGGCTATCATTATTGTTTCGTGAGTGATTCATTAGCGTGTTCTGATAAAGTGGTGCGTGATTGGTGATTTCCTTTAGTTATTCTGTCATTTACTCATTATTATATGTCAAACTGTCGCGTAGATATTATGCTGTAAATTACTTCTGAATATTCCTTTCATAATTCGTCGGAAAACGACGAAGAATCTTCACGACATCTATACTAAATAGTAGCTCCAATTCAATCGTTTTTGCTTTCAGATTGACTTCGGTGAAATTATACGCAATATCGACTAGAATCTTAAGAGTGTCGGTAAAAGCGTATCATAGCGATAGTGCTTGACTAACTTTCTTAATCCGTAACATCTATTCTACTTTATACCGATTTCTATGGATAAAAATCTTATCCAATTACCTTAATTTGATCAAGATAAGGTGAACAAATAATTCATACGAATAACCTGTTCTCGGTTAGTTGCTTAACAGTACTGTTAAGCTTTGAGTATGGGAAAGCTTGCAAAGAGTTCACTATATTGGATTTCTTTTCACCGACTGAGTTTATTGTTGTAACGAAAGAAGTCAGCGGCTTTAGGTCACTTTGACAAAGTGGAAAGGTAGTTTGTATGCAGATCCTTCTCAGCTCTACAACTGCCATCATTGCAAGTCCCTAAATTTCCCTTGCGAACAGGTTTGGTCAACTGTTACCACGGACTGAAATACCTCATGCGCTGATCATTTGTAGATGTGAATCACTGGTTAAGGCATCTAATTCCTAACTTTTTTGCAGATGGGGTCGCCACTCCACTCGTGGAGTTTGCGGTAGCCAGGACACATCAATACCCTTCTCACTGTACGTATATCCCAGCTTCATGCTTCATCTTGTTAACATCCCTTACATGTTATAAAGTCTATGGGTTGTATATTGATATGTCTTCTAATTTTATGTCTGTAGAACTTCTAACCCAAGATATCGTAGAACGACCTTCTAAAGAGCATCAAAATATCAAGTATCCTACATACGCAGCCAACTTACTGTCAGTACTTGATGGTTTTGTAAGTAAGAGTCAAAATGATGGTTCTGAAGACTCAATTTCTTTAACCCAACGACTTTTATCCTATGCTATCAACTGGAACACAAGAACAAGGACATCAATGATTAGTCAATGTGTTTTAAACTGGATTCTTACTCGTTGGACACCGGAGGAACTATTTGAATGGCCAAATTTTAGTCGAGTGATCCAGTCTCTACTCCCATATACAAGTGAGTTATTTGTTTTCATCAGGATTGATATACCAAGTTATAATATTTCGTATTGTCGTTGTCAGCAGCATACGGGAACTTACTAACGACTGAAGCTGTAAGAATACTAATATCGCGTAACTCAACCTGGTACAGGTCTGTGCACCTGGCTATGAGCCACATTAATTTTAACACTACTCATTTTTTCCCAGGCCCTGTAATAGATGGCATGTAGGGTTGCGGCTGGTTGGTTTAGGCGACTAACTTTCAACGAGTGGGTCGCGGGTTGGAGCCCACCTCTACCTAACGAAGTTTGACCAGTCAGGTAGTATCATTAGTCGTTACACAATAGGTATGGCTTACGATCCACTGCACGAATGTTCACAAGGTTACTGAGTGGATTTCGATTCGACTCAAGATGACACACAATTTGAACCATTATCATATAGATGGGTAAAATTAATTAAGGTCAAATTTTTCACCTATCTATTAAGTCAACACTGTCTAGGTCGTTTTCTTGTGAACTTTTCTATTATGGGCGATTGGATAAGTTGAATTTTTTAGTATCTGTAGTTAACCATCTCTTTTGAAATGTGACCAGTGATAATTCTATTTTCCTTTGAAAGTAAGATTTGTAAACGTGAGCTCAGTAATCCCTATTTTTCGGGTATGTTAAAGGTCTTGAACACCGATATCAAACTAAACTTAAATCCCACGTGTAATTGCACAGTTTTTCCTAATCTTTACCTGTATCCTTCAGTTTTCTATCGTCTTAGCAATCAACAAAAACTGACTCAATATCTGCATGTATATACATGGAATCCAACCCTGTCAACCACTGACAAAGGTGGGTAGCCTTAGGAAATATGAAGAAGAAGAACTTTCCTCTGTGACAAAAAATAAGCGTCTCTGACTGCAGCACCATATGAAGCGGGTTCGAGTCTGTAAGGGGTTATCGCTCCCCATAAGGTATCTATGCCTTGCTAGCGTGATATTAGGTCTGCTGTGGGAATAGCGGTAAAGAAAGTTGGTAACCTACACCAGAAGGTTAACAAACGTCACTAGATTCCAACGACGTTATCTAAACTGATTGATACGAGACGACTGATTCCAGATGACTCTAACAGCGATGAAGAGCGAAAGCAACTTAAACTTGAGTTGACTAAGAGTCTTCGCGTCGATCGCGAACAATGGTGGGTAGTGAAAGCGAGAGAGATGGAGAAGGTATCAGCGTTGGGTGACACTCGTCAACTGTTTAGGCTTATTAAGAATACTGACAAGAATAAGACGATGGTGAGTGAAATTCCATTTTAGTCTGTTTATTAGAAATATCACACAGTGAAACAGTAGCAGTAAATGCTACTGTTTCACTGTGTGATATTTCTAATAAACAGACTAAAATGGAATTTCACTCGACCACAGTGCCCAAGTTTTACACTTATATTGATGGTGAGTGAAACCATCACCCAAAAAGATGGAACACTGATAACCTCCTAGTAGGGGTGGCTGAAACGTTGGGCAGGACACTGGAGCACAGCCCAACTGGACCTCAGCAACGCTTCAGCTGTGCAACACCCAGGCCTAAACCGTACGTAGATGTCTACCCTACAACTCTCCTTGAAGTTGAGAAAGCTATATCAAACGTGAAACGATCCAAAGCAGCAGGGTATGACAGTTTATCACCTGACATTTTCAAGGATGGAGGAAGGAAATCGCTAATTAAAGTAGGAATCAGAAGTAGTCCCTTCAGACTGTTCTGTCTCACTGATCATCCCAGTCTACAAGAAATTAATGGGATCTTCTTGTGACAACCAGACGGGAATTAGTTTGCCTCATATTATGTCGAAGATCCTAGGATCCATAGTTATCCGATGCTCTAGAACAGCAAAGTCGATCAAACCAAGCAGGTTTCAGATCTGGATGACCAGATCTTCACCCTCCGACAGGCTCTAAAACTCGAGCATGCTTATCGGCGACCGACAGTTGCCACATTTCCTAACCTGAAGATGTCATTTGATTCTGTCGACGGTCAGGTGTTGTGCCAGTGTCTGACTGTGAAGGGAGTACCAAGGATGTATGTAACGCTAACGAAAGCTCTCTACTCGAACTCATGCAGCTGCGTCAAGGCTTATGGAGATTTGTCTTCAGAAATAACGACAACTAGTGGTGTCCGACAGGGATGTCCACTGTCACTGTTCCTACTTAACTTCCTTGTAGATGCACTAGTGGAAATAACCTAAGGTACGTCGGACTTCACGAAGAAAGACCTATTCCCTGTAGATTATCTGGTTGACTTGGAGTATGCAGACGATAATGTCCTGCTAGGTGAAGACGCTGACGAAATAAAGTCTTCTGAACGCCTTGACCAGAAATCTGTGTATGTTTGGCATGCGTTTCTCTGGCACCTGTCAAATGCAAGGTGATGCTTCAGAATTGATCTGCAACCACTCCCAGTTTGATGATAGAGAGTGAAGTGTTGCTGTCGACAACTTCACTTACTTGGGAAGTTGCATCAGCCTGAACAGGCTGGTTGCTGACAAATCCCGGCTTGGATACAGAAGGTCCGTTTAACATTCGCCAACTTGCGTCATCTGTGGCGCCGACTGGTTAGATATCCGACTACCTATCAAAGGATGAATATATTCCCTGCAGCTCGTTCTGACATGTTATACGGCTGTGAGACATGACGGTTAATGGTAGAAGACATGAAGTGGTTGCTGGTTTTCGATCATAGGCGTCTTCGCAGCATTGCTCGCGTTTGGTGGAATCACCATGTGAGCAATGTGAGGTCAGGCGAAGGATACTAGGCAAGACAAACAAGTCGACTGATAAGGTTGTGAACATCAGTCGACTGAGATGTCTGGAACATATACTATGCACTCCAAGCCACTGCCTATCTCAATATGCAGTACTAACAGAGGTTGAACGAGGTTGGAAGGCGACTCAGGGTGGCCAAACCAAGAAGTCCCACCAATCAATTAAGTCTCCAACTGTTGGTCTGAGCTATGTAGGGAGGTGCAGACTACCTGGCTGGGCCTAAGGTTTCGTGCTGATTTTCTAAAAAAACCAGCTAAATGAATCATGATGCTGCTTCACGATAGGGATTGTCATAGCCTGGTAACCATATTTCAGAATAATCAGTGAAATTCGGCAGACACACTAAATTGGTTACTCTCCAGTAACCAATCAACGTGCAGAAACTGTAAATTCAAATGTATTGAAGACAAAAGGGTTATTATAGTGAATTTTATGGCTTCCTAATACACACACACACACACACACACATCGATCGTAGACATTTTCCGACAGGTCGTTAATGCTTCGTCCAATTAGCATGTATCCGTCCGTAGAGGGTTTAATAAATGAATAAAGGTATTTGCTGTACCACTCTTAAAAGCTTGTCATTAGATAATTCAAAAGTGAAATCATCTCTAACCGTAGATTTTAGAGATGCTTAGTAAGCATCTGTGATAATGATTCATCAGGTCGTGGAAAGATTTCGCTTTACGGAATTTCCCAAATTTTCTGTCGATAACTAATTTATTATTATTATTAGTCCCTTGGGTTCCTAGTGGAACATACGGCTTCAGTAGCACGTCTCCATTTCACTTTGTTCTCTGCAGTAACCAGTGAACTAGTTAACTAGGCGAGGTTCGATAACTAATTGATTATCTAAAATGACTAAAATCCTAAAAAGATTACATGTAAATATCAGCATGTTTGTTTTGTCGTCACTATTATCTAATAGATAGACAGACAGATAAACAGAATGAATGTAGAACTCCTCAAATTAGTGCAATGCTCCAAGTTGCCCCACTTCACAGAAGCTTACAAGTAACAAGTGGATAGAAGAAGACTGATATCAAGTAAACAATTTAATATGGGATTTTAAGCGAAGGTTACTGGGTTTGAGCTTCAGTAGGGATGACATCACTCTCTGGAGTGCAGGTATATCCAGCTGATGAGTCCAAAACAGGACAAAACACGCTTCTTGGGTTCCTCTGCTAATCACTGAGATGCACATAACACCATGCATAATCAGGAATATCAAGGCATTCGCATAGCAGCCCATCTGCCAATGGAGGTTGAGCAACTGAAAATTACAACAACAGAAACAACTGATACCCGTTGCATAAGAGTTGGCTATCGTGCCACAGTGGCTTAGTGGATAACACCTTGGCGATAGGTACTGGGTTCGAGCGTCAGTCGAAACGATATAACTCACTGGGGTGCAGGTACATGCAGCTGACGAGTCCCAAATAGGACGAAACATCAGTATAAAATCCAATAATGAATTATACTCTAACACAGTGCCCAGGTTTTTCCTTTACTAACTTTGATTTTTTTTATTCAGTGTAATCAATATATTACCAGTTTCATTACAGTAAAATCGGCATTTGTTTTTTCCTTTTTCATTTCTTCAAACATAGATCGTCATTATCAGCGTATCTGTAGGTTAGAAGAACAGTTAGCTATTTTGGATTATATATCAGAATTGACAGATGAACATTTAATTCCTACTAGTTCTACTATTGATTACACTAATCAGAAATCGATTATTGAACCAATGAATTTAGATAATGATCAGGAGTTAACATTGAATATTTCTAAATAAGGTAATCAGAAGCCTATTGTATATTATTTTCTTATTGTTTATTTATTTGTCCCTTGGGTTCCTAATGGAAAATAGAGCTTCGGTAGCACGTCTCCAGTGCACTCTGTTCTCTGCAAACTTTTGAACTTGGCTCCACGACAGCCCAGAAGCTCTCATTACTTCCTCACATGATCTCCTCCATGTCACCCTCTCCTCAGACGCCCAACTCATCATTTCCCATATGGGTTCCACCCAATCGACTGGCCTGACGCGTGATGTCCCCAGTCGGTTCGTATTGACTACAAATATTGGGACCAAAGTATCTGAAATTGTGCTGATCGATGAATTGTTAACATAGAAGTGAGAAGTAACAGTCACAATTGAAAGGAAGTGTGAACAATTGACTCCAGAAGTAACTTACCTTGTGTTTTTAAAGAAATCTCACTTTAAGAAACAAAAAATTGATTGTGAAGAAGCATCGGTTTTCAGTTGGTTAGGTGGATTGACCAGTCCATGTAGTTCCTTCAACATAGATACATCGGTTCAAGTTGCCATGCAGCATGCAAAGATGAAGTAGATAGAAAGAAAGAAGCTCTGAGTAGTATTCTTGTCTTCTAGCAGGTATCCCAGAGATAATGAAGTTTCAGATCAGTTTTGAAGGATTGTGTTACATTTGACAGGAGTGAAACGCACGTTAAACATACTCATATTTTTACTAAACGCGTTCAGACGACCGCGCATTTTGTCAGCGTCTTCACTTAACAAGAAGATGTTATCTGCGTACTCCAAGTCAAGCAGATACTTTTAAAGGAGTAGATCAGTTTCTGTGAAGTCAGAGGTATCTAAAGTTATACCGATTAGTACATCAGTAGCGAAATTGAGAACAGTAACAATGCGTGTCCTTGATGAACACCGCTAGTTGTCGTCAATCCATAAGCCCTTACATACCTGTATGAGTTGCACTCTTATTCGGTACTCTCTTCAAAGTTAGACTTTACAACAACATCTCTCAGTTGACAGAGTTAAATGTCACCAAAAAGTTTATGTGCGCTCTCATGCAGGTCTGATACAAGTGTGACTTTCTCGAGATGTTGTTTTGCAGCACCGATCGATGTGTATAAATCCTGGAGTCTTCGACATAATGTCAGTGAAAGTGATGCCTTATGGTTGTCTCAGTTAGACTTCTCTCCTTTCTTGTGAACTGGGATAATGATTAATGGTTTAAATTAGTTTGACAGAAATATGTCTGATTGTCATACATTAGCCAGTAATGCCGTTAATCTACTTAGTAATTTTTTATTCCCCTCGCTTATTAACTTCTAGTGGCAAAACGGCATTTTGTTTCATGAATGAAACAGCATTCTCAACTTCGAGGATAGTTGAAGGACGGATATCTACGCGCCATTTGGGTTCAGGCTGGATGCTCGGCAAGTGAAGCGTGGCTGTAGGCCATAGGCCACCTGCGACCTTCTCAGGAGTTTGGGACTGAAATTTGATAATTCAACCCTTAGATGGGATAAACCCATACCACTGGTTCGGAAATATCGCAGAGCAGAGAGTATTGAGCTTTTTTCAGGACCGACCTTCTATAGTCACTTTTCTTTTTATAGGGAAGACATCATCAAATTGAATTGCTAGTCACTCGTTGAGAGCACCAGGGGTACAACTTCTCCATTGAAACCCTATCATAGCCTAGTAATTTGTCTTGTAACGGTTACTGCTTACCAGTACCCAACAGACATTTCTAGTATGCTAAGGCCTCTAGGGATTGTTGTTCCAGTCAATAGTTGATCAAATACACGCAGATGTGGGTTTAAAACATTCATTTTCCATTATCTGTTAAGATTAAGTGTCCTGGGCTGTAGTTTGTTCTTTTCTGATATATGGCTGTGAAACAAGACTTATAAAGGTAAAGAATATGAGAAGGCTTCTAGTGTTCGACCAACGTTCGTTTCGAGGCCAAGACCATGATGTCATCGCCTCAATAACATAGAAGTCAGAGGTGTAATTTAGGATTGATGAGGTTACAGATGTTCATCAACTGATGTGTTACACATTCTTAGTCACCGTCTACTCCATCACACAGTTCTATCTGAAATAGATTCAACATGTTAAAGGATTAAAGACAATCAGTTCATGAAGTCATTGACTATGGATTTGATCTGTTTAGGGAAATATTGACTTTTTGTTGTGAAGTATGACAACTTGGAGAGTTATACATTAATCCGAGTTCCTATGTTGAAATTGACATTACTTGTAAGAAAGCTTTTACTCATTTCAGTGTCTTACTGAATAGCAACCGTAAAAATTACTTCATATTTCTCTGTTCGAATAAAATGTCACAAGTTGATGTTTATCGCATCATTAGTTTATAACTCTGCCACCTACCACTTTCTTAAGTCATATTCCCATTAGTCGTTAAGGTTGCAGTCTACTATTCAGAAAGTGTAGAGTCATCTAAAAGAAAATTCTTGACCTAAGTTTATTTGCTATTTTCTGCCTTAATATAGTCCTGAAATATGAATTACTATTTTTCGTTCGTATGTTGACACTGTTTTGTTTTTATGCATATCCACTGAGGAAGTGATATTCATCTTGTTCCATTTCCATCTTCTCAGGTCAACGATAGGAGATTTGGAGAATACGTAGTGAAGAAATAAACCACAATGTATATAATTATCTCCGATTTTGAAATAATTTAACTGTGCAGCTACAAAAAAAAGTTAAATTATAGTCAAGTGTTTAATTGAGTAATACATTTTTTCTGAAGTTTTTAAGTGTTTTCATCATTTTATTGTCGTTACTGTCTCATTTATCCACACTCTATAGTATTTTTAACCTTAATAGTTTGCAGTGTATATAAGTCGTTTATTTGGAAGAATTTAGGCTCGTATACCAATTTAGAGTCGGCTGGAACGCTGTTAGCGCCTAGCCTATATATATATATATATATATATATATATATATATATATATATATATATATATATATATATATATATATATAAAGTTGAAACAAACTTGACTCTTCCATCCTACAGTAGGTTGGAAGTTCTTGACTTTCTATGTAGATCTGAAAATATTTTATTATCGCTATATGGGGTTGTAAATATTTGGTAAACGTTTAGTCAGTTACTCTACATATACGTATATGTATCCAGTTGTTGTAGGCAGCATTTTCTGCTTAACCAATAAGAAAAATGATAAACAATAGAAAGGTCAGAGGTGAAGCAGAGGAAACAACCAATCATAGACCATATTGTCATAGCAAGCTACTAAATCACTCATGGAGAGATATTGACAGCTTACTTCATACTGAAGTTAGTGCTGATGATGTCTTCTAGCAAGGCGATGAAAGCTTCACGATTAAACAACCCAGCTTAGAGAATACAATACAACCAAGATTTCCTGCTTACCTTAAATCGTATATGGTAGATAAAATTCGCAGTAAATTCAACACTCTAGTGGATTGAATTCTTTGGTATAATTGTATACAGAATACTAAAATGGATAAGAAACATCTGAATCCACTGCTAATTCAATTGGTTCAATAGATACATTTAGATTAAGTGGTAAACGTATTTCGGAACATTATCTAGTTGGGTATTTTAGAGACGAGAGATAATATCAACAGTTGTATTCTTGAACACTTCATCATCTCCAGATATATGGCTCCTCCCAGTAGTTCCTTCAAAGTAATTTACAGTGTTGATGTATACTTTCCAAGGGCTTCGACTAAGTCATCTATGCATAACCTACTGGATGATAATAGTGTGTGGTTTGTTCCCATTACTTATAATACTATTATATAGCTTGCATAAGTGGAGTCATCATCAGGAAAATGCCCTTCACTCTTAGGTTTTTCTGCTATCTTATGAATGCCATGAGATATGCTATAAATATCACGCATTACAGTCACCTTAGCGGTTAAAAAACTCATTGATTGTTGTCGTCTTTCGTCTCATTTACTAATCCTGGTATCTGGTTCAGAAAACCACTTGGTATATTCAGCACTCCTCTATCATCACAGCATAGTTTCCAGCTCATAAGTTTCGGCGACATTCAGAATGCCTTTAGAGAAATTCATTCCACCAACATGTACACGTTCGTGGACACACTTGAAGTATGGCGGCTTTTAGTATCATCTCATTGAGCTTGGCAGGATTTAGACCTGTGATTCTTCGGCTAGAATCGGAGTAAGCAGTCTAATGAGCCCCAATTCTAGATGCAATTCATCAAAATACATTCGCAAGATCCGGTCGTCTATACAAAATCTAGATGTGAAATCAAAGCATGTATGATTCATGAAAAATAAGCGCATTTTTCGCAACATAGTCACAGAAAATGTAAATGCGATGAATTTGATTCCTAACCACGAATTACTTGATGAATAAGCATAGATTAATTAAGGTAGAAAGATTTTTGAAGTTTTAAACAGGTTCTTACGTAATTGATATTTTGTATAATGGTAACTAAAGAACGAAAATGAACTGTTGCGTAAAATGGTAAATTGTTGACGGTAATTAGAGACAGTAGGGGGAGAGAAAGATGATTAAGTCTGTAATAATAACAATGGAGCTATTAAAATATTAGTTATAGTGAATTGTGTGGTGGATGAAATTAAGAGTCTTGTTGTAATAAATGAGTTATACAGATGTCTAAGGCAAAGAAAGAGGCTGTACGAATCTCTTCTGAACACACAGACTTGGCTTGTTTAGGTGGATTCCTATGGCTTCTGCTGTATGTAAAAAACGAACTCGTAGACGATGGGTGAGGTTAGAAGGAATGTGATAAATTAGGCTGTAGTCCGCGTAAAAATGCAGTCGGTGTTATGATTTGTAGAACTTCAAACCAATAGAGACCAGTTGACTTTATATACAACTGTAGACATACACTTTTGTTTCAGCTCTCTATCCAACTAATGTTAAAACATATCAGTTGTCAGAAGTGACAGTATAAACACAGATAATGAAAATTTATCTTCCCATCCGTTACTATTATTATTATTAGTCCCTTGGGTTCCTAGTGGAACATAAGGCTTCAGTAGCACGCCTCCAGTGACCTCTGTTCTCTGAGATCTTTTGAACCTGGTCCCACGACAGCCCAGAAGCTCTCATTTCCTCCTCGCACGACCTCCTCCATGTCACCCTCGGACGTCAAACTCGTCGCTTCCCATGGGGATTCCACTCGAGGGCCTGACACGTGATGTCCTCAGTCGGCCTTCTCAGTGCATGGCCAATCCATCTCCACTTCTTCCTGCATATTTGTTGCGTGATAGCTTCTTGGTTGGTTCGTCACCAGCCAGAGCTCCTTGTTGCTTATTCTTTCTGGCAATCCATCTGATCTTCAGTAGCGAGCCAGCGTAGTTGGCAGTTGTTGATGAATGTCTGTAGTTTATTGGAAATCCCTTTCGTGACGCGCCAAGTCTCTGAACCATACAAGAGCACTGACTTGACGTTGGTGTTGAAAATCCTTATCTTGTTCCGCATGCTGAGTGCAGAATATCTCCACACTGGTTTCAGGCTAATGAACGCCTGTCTTGCTTTTCCGATTCTGACTTTGACGTCCTCGTCCGTCCCGCCTGTAGTTGAAACAGTGCTTCCTAGATAAGTGAAGGAGGTTACTTCCTTTAAGTTTCTCCCGTTGATGGTGACTGGAGTTTGTTGTTGTTGTTGATGGTGGTGGTGCGGTATCTTCATCACTTCTGTCTTCTCTATATTCACCTGGAGTCCCGTCTTCGCTGCCTCTTCTATCAACTTGTTAGTTTGTGCCTGCAGATCTTCAAGTTTATGTGACATGAGGCACAAGTTATCGTTGGCGAAATCCAAGTCTGCTAGGTTATTTTTCACAGTCCAGCCAGTGTATCCCCCTCTTCTCGTTGCCCACTGTTTGCTGCATGATGCGATCCAGTCGACCACAATCAGGAATATCGTGGGGGATAGTAGGCGGCAACCTTGTTTCACTCCTGTCTTCACTTCAAAAGCATCACTGAGCTTCCCATTGTGAATTACTTGACATGTGGCATCTTCATATAGTTGTTGAATTAGGCGGATAAATGTTTGCGGTACTCCGTAGTAGTGAAGCAGTTTCCAAATTACTTCTCTGTCGACGCTGTCAAAGGCCTTCTTAAAGTCGATGAAGTTGAGGTAGAGAGCTGATTGCCGTTCTATGCTCTGTTCTATGATGATGCGAAGCGTTGCAATTCGGTCTGCACATGATTTGTACTTCCTGAATCCTGCCAGCCAGCCAGCCTTTTCCAGTGGTAGTTTTGAATCCAGTGGATCCTTTAGTCTCTCCAGGATGATGCAGCCTAATATTTTGCTTTGGGTGGACAGGTGAGTGATTCTGCGCCAGTTCTTGCAAACACTGAGGTCTCGTTTCTTCGGCAGCTTGACAAGGTAACCCTTCTTCCAATCAATGGCCAGGTACCTTCTCTTCCTTCCAGACCTTCTGCAATAGTGGTGTGGTGTGAGCATGTCCGCTGTTGTCTCTGCGTCTGTTCTCAGTGCTTGTGGCGGAATTCCATCTGGTCCTGCTGCTTTCCCACATTTCAGTAGCTTTATGGCGTTCAGGACTTCCATTTTCGTTGGGGGATTTATGTTCACTTGTAGTTCAGCGGCTGGGCTGCAGGTAGTATTTCTGGACGAAGTGCAGGTGGTGGTGGTGGTCGATTCAAGAGCTTCTTGAAGTGGTCGGCCCATTGTTTCCTCTGTTTCTCTTCTTTTGTAATTAAATTTCCTTCTTCATCTTTTATTGGTTTCATCTGTGTTGGTCTCTTCCCTGATAGCAACCTGGTTATCTGATACAATGTCGTCAGGTCTCTCTTACCTGCAGCCTGTTCTGCTTCACTTGCCAGTGTTTCGTAGAATTGTCTCTTGTCTTTGCGTGCACTCTTCTTTACTTCTTTGTTCAGTGTTTTATACATTGTGCTCAGTTCTTGCTCTTGTCGTTGAGCATCCTTGCACTGGTTTATCTTCTGTTTCACCATCTTCCTCTCCTCTATCAGCTTCCAGGTATCCGTCGAGATCCATTCCTTGTCTTCCGCCTTCTTCCTTCCTAATACTGTTGTGCAGGTTTCTTTCCACATAGCTTTCAAAGAGTGCTCTTCCAGTGTTCTTCCACACAGGTTTCTTCAGTGATGTTGCTGGATATTTCCCATTTTGTCTTGATGGCTGCCTTGAAGATCTCCTTTGTAGTTTCATCCTACAGTTTCCGAGTGTTGTACTTGAACTGTGGTCTATCACCAGCTTCCTTGAAGGCTTTTAACTTGATTTGGAAGGTTCCTTGCACTAGATAGTGAGTGGTGTGAACCTACATCTGCTCCTCTTCTTGACCTTGTGTTAAGTAGACTGCGTCTCCATTTTCTTGAGATTGAGATAAAGTCGATTTGATTTTTAGTGTGTCCATCTGGTGAAATCCATGTCGCTTTGTGGATATCTTTGTGCCTGAACACACTGCCTCCAATTACCAAATCGTTGAATGCACAGAATTCTGCAAACAATTCTCCATTCTCGTTCATTTCACCTAGCGCCTCTCGACCCATGGTTAGTTCTCTTCCTGTGTTGTCTGCTCCCAGTTTGGCATTCATGTCGCCCATTAGAATTTTGATATCGCCAACTGACGTCTTGTCCAGTGTTGATTGGAGTTGTCTGTAGAAATCCTCCTTTTTCTCTTGCTCTGCATTATTTGTAGGTGCATAACATTGTATGATTGTGACCTTTCTTCCTTTTGAGTTGAATCTTGCTGTCATGATCCTGGAGGAGATTGGTTCCCACT